AACTAATATTTTAGAATTACTAGCAGTTATTTTATTGTTTTTTCAAACTACATACTCCTGACGTTTCGGTTTACAGAAACCGTGATCACGGACAGACGTGTAGTAATCCGTAAATATTAGTTTCAAAAGTCTAGTTTTCATTTTGATAAGCAAACTCGTAATATAACCATTACAGTAAGCTGACGCTCATCGTATACAGTACTTAACTTATTAAGCAGCACTTGTAAGTCTTGTAACCCAAGGCTATCTCGTTACGTCATCAACAATACGGCTTTACAATGACTGTTTATATAAAACAAAAAAAATATTTGTAACAATACAATGGTCTTTATAGCGCGAACAGACAGACAAAACGAACAGATGAAGTGTCATACTTAACTGAAGTTTTTAATTAATCTAATTCATTTACTCAGTATGTACTCAAGTTTTCATAATTAATAGATTTTCATTCATAAATTTTACGACATTATTTATGTAGGTCATCCATTTAGAGATATGTTACACTTATGTAGTGATATTACAAACTTTTGGTAAGCGTATTGACCGATTGAGTAATGGTTTAATGTGTTCCAGAGAACCACTTGACTTCGCTGAGAATAATGAGGTTACTAACCGTGTATACAGAAATTATTATATACTAGCTTTCCGCCCGTAGCTTCGCCCGCGTGGAGTTCGGCTATATCGCGTTTCCAAGAGAACCTTTCAAAAGTCTGGGATAAAAACTATCCAATGTTCTTTCTCAAGGACAACTCTATATCTGTACCAAATTTCATTAAAATCAGTTCAGTGGTTTAAGCGTAAAAGCGTAACAGACAGACAGACATACAGAGTTACTTTCGCATTTATAATATTAGTTGTGAATTAGTAGGGATATACCCTACAGAAAGATAGAAAGACTTGATTTTAAGAGCTATAAATATTACTATCTTTATTATTAGTCTTCAGAATAATTCCTTCAAACTATGAACACTTCATAAATAAATTGATTTATTTTAAACTGACATAATCGAAAACCAGTTCATTAACTTATACTACTAACCTTTTTAAACTTGAATCACAAAAAAATCGATTACAAAACACATGAACATAATAAAAATCGATATAAAAGTATTAGTAAGTCGAGTGGCCGGTCGAAGTGTCGAATATCGTGACGTCATATTTAACTGTCAATATTGTTTTAGTTTTGAGGTGAAGGCTACAGCTGATTGTTTACTGTGAGACTTTACGAAACAATGTTCTTATGTTCTATACTCGTATTAGATACTACTATATTGTTACTGCACTCGCAAATTGAGTAAACGTGGTTTTAATTTCTTTGAGAGATGTTAGTAGCGACATCTAGCGAAACATTGAGAACTAAAATCCTGTTTTGTTCAAGATTTAATACGTTGGTCGTTTTAACCGAATGAATTATACTATTGGTAGGTTCTATAATGATACTGTCATATTAAAAATATTTGTATTATAGTCGCTTGACCTGTTTGACCACATAACTTAAATTTTATTTACCTTAATCTTGCATTACATAATATTTAAAAGGTATTTAGTATAGTTTTATAATATTTTATTATTTGTGTATAACTTCCTATTTATCAAATATATTTCTTATGTCTTACATTTTAGTATGTGGCAATGACATACTCACATTCTTTCATTTCGGTCAAACGTGTACTAGTGACATTGTGACCATATCTTTATATTCAAATATAAACTCTATTACCATCGCATTAGGTATGTTTTCACCTGAACTTGTATAGTGAAAATACGTGACAACTATGGGAAATATCAGAAAGCAACAATCATTCTTTCATCGTATGCTTTTGAAATAATAATGGCGTAATATTAAAGTAAGGTAATTAAAGATATACTGAGTTATATGTATGTCATTGACACAGTTCATAAAACAAACGATGTATTTGTAATAAATACATATACATATGTAATTATCAGTGGACTCTGATAGGCTGATAATAATTACATCTCCAAGAAGAAGGAGATGTAATTATTATCAGCCTATCAGAGTCCACTGCTGAGCAAAGGCCTCTTCTAACATGGAGAAGGTTTGAGCAATAATCACCATGCTTGCTCACGACGATTTGGTGATTTCAAATTTATAATTGGAAATTATAAGTCCAGGTTTACTCGCGATGTTTTCCTTCACCGTTTGTCAGTGGTGTCTAAATACTCTTAGAACGTAATTATGACTCGGAAAAATCGCATTAGTACTAGCCAGGTTTCGAACAAGCGCCCTCATGTACGAGAGGCGGGCCTTTTAACCAATAGGCCACCACGACTTACGAATTACTACGACCACGATATACAGTAATAAATGTATTAAATGTTGAATTATTTACTATTTCGTCTCTGAAAACTTTACGAAATGTCAAAAATATCAGCGTACCTACAGGCTACAACATATGTTTCGTATACTAGTTTAACCCGTGACTTCGACCGTGATTATTTTTTATTTTTATTTTGTAATGAAACCTTAAAGTCGCATCGTAAGCTGACCAGACGTTTTTAAATTATCCGAAACAAATATTCAGACAACACTTAAATATTACACTGTCATTAACAGTGGCGGCTGGTGGGTTATCGAACTGGTGGTTCACTTTACTAAAATATTGACAAAAACAACAATTGACATAAAATATGTTTATTTTTTGTATATTAAATCAATGCGACGACATTTTTCTGTAGCGAAATGTTCTATCACCTTTTTATTAAAATCTGATTCCAGTTTCTGTCCAAATCGATTCTCCGCCAAAAATAATGCAAGGAAAACAAAAGAATGCATTAAGACGCTCACATCCACACAACCATTTCTTTCTATTATACATTTCACTTTTAAAACTTCGTATAAATGCTTTATTTTTCGATTTACACTCTTGTTTTAAATTTAAAACGGGCCGTGGCGGCCCGGCCAATTTTATGTTCACTTTACATTGAAAAATTTTGTTATTTTCTTTAATATAATCAATATTTATACTCATTTTCAACTAATAAAAAACACAGTACAGAATAAAAGTTCTATTATACAAACGAAATAAAAACTAAAACGAATTACGGAAATAATTATAAACAATAACGAATTAACGCGTCACGCATACAGTGAAAGTTGAAACAATACCAATAACGATTAACGAAATGTCAATCATAGCACCCATCCTTTCGGCCGGCCCCTTGCCGGCCGGCTCAATACGTCATACATCGGGTGCTCTCGGTAACCTTCGGCCGCTTCGTGCGGCGCTCGAGAACCGACTCGTTACTCGGTACATTTCTATGAACTATCTTTTGTCTCACGCGTCAGGCGTATTAATGCGTGTCTCATACAAGATGTATTAGCAGTCCTCGTGCACTCGCCGGAGCGCACGATATGAGTTTAGTAAAGCGCTCAAACTTTTTGACCATAATTGGAAATTAAATTTTTTATACCTTTTTGTATGTTTAAAAAATAAATATTAAAATGGTAATTTAAAAATTAAGATGACATAATATTTTGTAATTTTTAAATATTTTGAATTGGTGGTTCAGCGCACGAGCGCACTTAAGGTGCAGCCGCCACTGGTCATTAAGATAAGTTAATTAGTGAAATTCCTACAAAAATGACTAACGCGAACCGGGAATCGAATCTGTGAATTATTTTTAACAAGTTATATTTAATACTAAAGATCTTTTTCTATAACTTCCACTTGGTAATATTTTATATTAATAAGAATAAACATTATAATTTCAGAAAAATGCTATTAATTATCTTCTTTATAATTGTTTCTTTCGTTACAAATTTTTATTTACGTATTTTCATGTAATAAATATATTTTTACTCACAAACAGACCATCAGCCAACCCTAATTACTAGTTTTAACCCCGTGTTGACCTCTGTACCTACAAGACTCCGATGAATCATTTTTGAATGTTGTCCCACTCTACGGCTAGTGTCGTTACTATTGTACTTTTTAAAATATAATATTACATATAATATTGCATAATTTTATACAATATAAATTAGATTATAGAAAAATGTATATTATATTATTAAGTCAGTGGTGGCCTAGTGGTTAAAAGGTCCGCCTCTCATGCACAAGGGCGCGGGTTCGATCCTGGCAAGTGCCAATGTGATTTTTCCGAGTCATATGTACTTTCTAAGAGTATTTAGACATCACTGATTAATACATTCCCAAAGAGGATTGATGTTAGGCAGGCGGCCGGTCGTAAAAACTGTTAGCCAAAATCTATTCACAACATGTAAGGCAGATCCTGGCTAAGGCAGGGAAATTGCCAGGTAGAAGAAGAAGAAGAAGAAAAATATATATTATTGTGTATATATTTCTTGCAATAAAAATATATACACATTTATATAAGACAAGAATACTTTATAATTAATTTGTTTTTGCGTATTAAATCAAGGATATAATTATGTTTCTATATAAAGTGTTGTTTAAACTGGTATATAATAATATACATAAAAGTCTATATAACATCATATGCCTTGAAAATACATTTTTGTATGTGATTAAAACCGAGGTCCCTTTGAATTTTGGACAAAAAATAAACGATTTTATGCTTATTTTTATTACTCTTGAATAATATTTATTTAAACAGGTGACGTACATTTATGTTATTTATTCATTTATTCAATAAAACTCGTTTTGTATGAACATGATTGTAGGAATAGTACTTGCACGTATACTAATAATATATAAAACTCAAATCTTTATAAAACCTTATCCAAATTTCATAGCTCGTCATATTAATACTACACTTTTTTATGAAAAAATATATATTAATTTATAAAAACCACAATCACTTAATAAATGTTTTTAGATAATATGTTGTAACATTGCATAACACGTTCTAGAACATTTTGATATTATGAATATTTAATACGTTTATATTAGTTTGTTTTTTATCGGACCGGAATCACTTTATTAATTCACAGAGTGTCTCAGAGAACTTTTAGTTTCCTTGGGACGAGCGACTTGGACTGTCGTTTCATAAATATGACTGACACTCAAGTTATCGTGAGAAATAATGATGTTTCTTGTTGGAATTGTTTCACAACGGAAGATTCTATTGTGAAATCTGAGGATGAAGTGTATTCTAAACCTATAACGTTACCAAAAGTGCGTGAAGTACATAGAGAGAAATTAAAAGTGTATTCCTTTTTAGCGTCCGAATTAAATAAACCTAAAGCCGTTTCGTTAAAACAAAAAGTAAGTACGCATTATGCGATAACTAAGAAAATTGATGAGAAAGTCTTGGAGCAACACACTAAAGAGACGGAGAATATTCCTTTCATTGATAATAAGGCTCCTCTTAATGAATCTACTTCGAATAAAGAAATAAATAATATTGGCGAAAATGTAGTTCAAATAACAATGACAAATAATAAAACTGATACTAATTCAGAAATAATAAATTCTAAAAATGATATTCCTGACCTTACCGACCCATCACAAAATATAAGTGATAAAGATAGCAATGTAGCTGTAACAAGAGAAAAAAGGAGTATAAACATTGTTTCTGATACTGTTAACAATGAAGATACAGACCAAACAAATATACCTGATGTATCTCAAAGAACAGTTCTTAAAAAAGAAGAATTACTCGAGGGTTTGCCCCCGCTACCAGAAACAGAAAAGGATGTAACTGTAAATTTAAGTGAAAATTCTTCTTTAAGCCATGATGAATTAAACTCTAAAGCAGTCAGGTCAGAAAATAAACAAGGCTTAAGACGGCGAATTTCAGTTCCTCCGGATTTTTTAGAAGAAATAAAATTTACGGATGAAGATGACCAAACAAAGGAAAATTGTTTAGAACAACCTATAAGCTTAAATTTACCACAGACAGAGTTTAGTGAAAACCTTAAAAGTAATGTTATCACTAAACTGCCTGTTCTGAAACAAAACATGAACAGCAGATACTCTCCACTTTTTAAATTGAAGAGATCCATCAGTAAAGACAGTGGAACTGTCGATCATGTTGTACTATACGATACTGTTGACAGTAATGAAAAATCGGTTAAAGATTCAACGACTGCAGCTAGCGTGAGGAGAGTTGAAGTTGTAAATCCAAAAAAAGAAGTCGTGAGTGTTGAAAATACTATTTCAAAGAATTCAACGCCTTCAACAAAACCATTATCAAAGAAACCAATAGATCAGTCAAGTCCCCTTGTTACTAGGCCTTATCGTGGCCTCGATACAACACCTACGTCTAAAATTAAAAACACGGAACTGACTAAAACATCCAAAATAACTTCTCCAAAAACTATATCTAATGTAACACCACCGGTTCTAAAAAGAACTATAGAAAAGAAATCGGTTACACCAACTAATAGTCCGCTCTTGAAAATTAACACCGAAAAGAAGTCCATTTTAAAACGTAAATCTTCGGATCTTTCGATAGGTACGGGATCTAATATTTCAACAGACAGCAATTACGGTTCGGAAAGTACAGACGATTTGAATATATCACTGGAAACACATCGCAAATACTCCAAAAGCGATATCGGTACTAAACTACCAATACTGAAACAAAACATGAACAGCAAATACTCGCCAGTATATAAATTAAAACAAAGTTCTATTAAAAATAATACAAGCAGAGATGAAACGGATAGTAATATCAATATTATCAAAGAAACTATTGGAAAGGATAACAAGGAGACTTTAGAAAAAACCTTAGAACCTGAACGCAATGATGAACATCAGAAGAGAAAAGAAATTCAACCAGTTACATCAACACCCAAAAGCAAAGAAATTGACGACGAAATATCTATAGTATCTGAGAAATTGGATAAATTGTCGCTGAAGACCTCTCCTTCCTTGTACAGTCTGTCAGGGTCATCAGCTGAGATAAATGATGGTTCCAAAAACATCACTAAATCAGAGGCAGCGTTGTGTGCTAATGTTGAGAGCAAAAAGTCTCCTAAAAAAGAAGTTAATTTTGATTTATCGAATGAGTCAAACAAAAAATTTTTACAATCCCGCTCTATATCAACAGATGCTCTGGGGAAAATTTTATGTCCTCGAGGATTACGTAGAAGCACTTTATCTATGGATCCTCGATCAATGGGCTATGAAGGTAAAAAATATATATTTTAGTACAACATTATTCGTCCTTATTGTTTTTATTTCAAATTTTCTATGCTAGTGTTCTTTTTACTAATTAGATTAAAAAATATATTTACTATTGTTTATGTCGATATAAATAAGTATAAACATATTTTAAATAGTATAAGTAATTTTACCATTACAATTATATTTATGAGAATAAAAAAACTAAAAGAAAATATATGGTAGTCGCTATAGTCATGTGCACACACAATCAGTTCTATTAACGTTAATTTTAATTAACAAGCTAGTTCGGGCATCATTAGTTCATTTAGATTTGCTGCAGCCACGGTCGAGTGATGAATCGAGATATAAAACACAACAGGAAACATTGGTGTCGCGCAGGATGTGATAAAATGGGATTTATTTAAATATAGCGGAGCAAATAATTTAGTTGTATATTAGCAGAGCATTGTTTCGGTTATAATGACTGCGTTAATGAGATCGCCGCCGGGTTACAATTCATTCCAAAATAATGAAAGTGTCAGTGCCGCTAGTGAAACCCATTCTGTGGGCCAATATGAACCTGTTAATGTTTATTCTATAAAATCAGGAGTTATTGAAGACTGTAAGGAAAGCACCTTTATGTCTCGTTTGTTCGGTGTGTGTTGTCATTGTTGTATCGGAACAAAAACTCAAGAACTACCGGACTCTCCGCCTGACGATGTTAACGCATCTTTGGTAGAACATCTCGGCTGTAGTTATACTTTAAATAAAGATACTAGCCAAAAACAAGCCGTTCCCACTGTAACTGTTACTAAGATTATCGACAATGATTCTGTGAAATCAACTCAACTTCTACTTAAACATGAGAGAGACGACAGTGATTCTATCATTACTTCAACAATAAAGCGTGGTCGCCATGAAATGATTTGTGATTCTGGAAAAAACAGTAGAAGCAGCACCCTGAGAGCCGGTGAGAAAACGTCATTCATTCGCGACATCTTGACTTGTCGGGACACGTTTCTACGATCACTGGAGTGGTGTGATAATTCACTCACTCGGAACAAAAAATATCGCTATGTAAAACGTGACAATTGGCTCGAAGTAGAAAATGATGGTACCCAGACATATTGTTGATTACTGGAGCACCTTAACTATCTGACACTTGACTAATTTTAAATAACGTATGACGTAAGACACTCGGATAAATTTTGACTGCACGTTTATTAGCCTCTAAACATCACTTTCTGCTTCTTCTGGGTCTAAAACCTGCAATTTTTAGAAAACACGAAATATGTTTCACGAGATTTCACTAATTCTTTAATTAGTATTTAATTTATTTATAAGTTTAGCATTAAGTATGACTAATTTAGCTTCTTTACCCAAAATATAATTATATTTTCAGATGACATGTACATATCTGAAGGTGTGTCGGGACATGCTACTCTTCCTCGTCGTTCTAATTCTCCTTTGCCTCATGAACGAGACATGGACCGGGAACGGTTTCCTCTCAACAGGAGTGGTCTCCAGGTATGTATAATTCAAATGTTATTTTTCTTCATATTCAATGTCACATTTTGATAGCAGTTCTTCCCTTCACACTTTTTGTGGTCTATGAAACCCGCCAAATACGTGTCCAATTTTTTTATTGGATTCCGTCCGTAAGTAAAAAAGGGAAACCTTTTAGGAACACTGCTGTTAGTTTATTCGTATGACCTTCTGTCTGTTACTCAAGATCCTTTTTTGTCAACGTACGTTTAAAATAAAACTGTATTTAAATAATTACAGTTCATAATCAAGACTGTAAATGAGGCAGTGCATCTTCAATTTCGTATATCTTGACCTAAGTTAGAGACTTGAAACCCTTAACTTATTACATTATTGTTTGAGGAATGTTTGATCTTTATATTGGTCAACAATAAATTTCAATTGTATAGTCTGATATACTATACTTAAATTCTATTCGCCCGACTTTTTGTTTGTGATTTAAACCGGACCGTTCACTCCATTCCTAGAAAATGTAGGTGTTAGATACTGATCCACAAGTACTTGTTGCTATGTTTGCACACATTTTGGTAATTCCAGTTTTAATACAATCTTCTATTTCTTTAATACAAAATGTGTGGGATATTTTCATCATATATATTATTAATTGTAATAGATACGTTATTAATAGATTAATCTTTATCTGAAAGTCAGATTATAAAATTATTATCTGTATCAAATGGATATAGCAACAGATCTTAGATAATATTATAATAAATTCTAATACATTAAGTTTATTTTTAGCTTCGACATTTCATATCTGACTTAATATTATAAAAGGTCAGTCGTTTATTTATGAATAATGAGACATTCCTATTGAAAACGTTTACAAAATAACTCCTTTCGCTTAGAGATTATAGTATTGATAAGTTGGATTGTTCTGGCTGGCTGTGTGTTTGTATAACTGTAAAGTTAGGAGTATTGTTTGAGAGGCCGCGGTTCTTTGACGGAGGTGTTGTCGAAGCGTTACGACATGCCGTCTGAACAACTGGGTTTTGCAAAACGTTTACTTGAATCATTTAACATTGATGCTAGTACTACGGAAAAGTACTGATATAGAAAAAACATTGCTTACTTTTATTACGCTACACGGAACATAATATATGTTCGTTTTTATATTTTTTCTCTTATCAGAAATAAAATTAATCATATTAAATTAAATTGTATATAGAATTCGTTGTAAACATATCCAAGGTTCTTTTTATTTCATACTTATATCGAAATGTTGTGATCGGAGGACATTCTTATATAAAAATATATATATATATATATAAATAAGCCAGTCTAAGCCTAGTATATTGTACGTGTTTCTCTCAATGCCATATGTGGTTGAGTGACCCCTTTCTCATATAGTCGCGCCTCTTACTCGAGAGAAATCTCTATGTATCGGTAACTAGTAAGGAAATATATGACTTTTGGTCACAACTCTAAGACGTAGTTAATGTAATTTATTCAGTCTGGGTAAATAAATAATTGAATTAATTTACATGATGATTACAATAGACGATAATTTAAATAGAAAAACTATTATCATTATATTAGATATACGAGTTTATATAGTTTTAAGAAGAAAAACAAAAATTAGTTCAATGTTTTCGGAAATTGTTAACAAAATACAAGGTGCAATATTATCAACCAAAATAGAACGAAACAAGGACGATTTCAAAGTCGTGGCAAAAACTTATCGCATCGTATATGCAAATTAGTAATGGTATATTTATTTAAAGATATTGATTATAACAAAAAAAATGTCACCAAACGACTGGTGGCCACGAAAGTCCCACGGAACCAGTTCTAAGTTATGACATGCACTAATATACATACGGCTTTTAAATAACCACCAACATAATAATTAATATGCCGAGAATAGTTGGCTGTTTTGTAAAATTGTTTAACAAACAACATGTTGGTGAATATTTACGTGGGAATGTGATGCATTTTGTGTTGTCATTGTAGTTACGAGTAGCTGAGAGGAGATAATGAAGTAAACAAAAACATTAGCTCAGTTTCGCTTCAACGTGAGCTCACGCTTACGAAACTATTGCATTGTCTGTACGGATCAATGTTGATTAGACGATAGATTTGTTATTTTAACACGTCATTGCATTATAAATAGAACTTGTTTTTGGTTTGTGTTGAAGATTGCATAGAATTGTTTTTGTTTACTCCCTCTGAGGGTGAGTTAATTTAAATAACGTAAAGTTATATTACCAAAAATATTATGTTGCAATTTAATTTGGTGCTCATCACTCACGTAATCCTTAGACCTTATATACTAAACTGTTTGGTACATATTGGACTAGTCCGTAATGTCCATATTATTTCGGTCTCATCTTCATAGTCCTATGTTATTCTGTCATTCCAGACTCGGTCTGAGTCTATGGCATCAGTATACTCCGGTGCAGGCGAGGCTGGTCGCGGCGGTGTACCAGTAAGAGGAGAGGTTCAGTTCTCACTGGTGTATAACTACCGTTTGGGAGCTCTTGAGGTCGGCGTCAAAAGATGTAGGGACCTCGCGCCCATCGACCAGAAGAAAAATAGATCGGATCCTTATGTTAAGGTATTTATAGGAAGTTTACATTGTAACTGAAAGTCATTCTTTTATATTAACAGAAATACACACCATACACCATCGACTTATAATAATAACTAACACAATATTATAATGCACTAAATATACAATCCAGTATGATTTGCCTTAACAGGTGTATACACTATTGGCATTTATTTGTGTGCGATTATATAGACTAAACAGTATAAAACTAAAATAAAAGCTAGGTTTAGATAAAGTTAAAAATTAATAACAATATTAATCCACTCTAGATTACAGTTTTGTGATTTGTAGCGAATGATATTTGGAAGCACCTAAAATTAATGTGATGTTTTTTTTATATGAATAACGATGTATTTATTCGAAATAACGCTATTCCAGGTGTACTTGTTGCCCGACAAGTCCAAGACTGGCAAAAGGAAGACGAAGGTGAAGAAAAACACATTGAACCCAGTGTTCGAGGAGACTCTATCGTTCACGGCTCCCCTTGAGTCGCTTGCGAGCCGCGCGCTGTGGCTAAGCGCCTGGCACGCTGATATGTTCGGCAGAAACGACTTCCTAGGAGAAGTGACCCTGCCGCTAGCTGGGAGACTGTTCGACGACCCCTCGCCCGCCTGGTACCCGCTCACTGAGAGGGTGAGTCACATACATACATATACAGGGTGACTGGTGAATTACTATCAATATTTAAGGACGTGATATTTGACGATCATATATGACGGAATAAAAATTAATACAACATAAATATTAATAAACTTCTAAGTAAAGTTAACCAAAAGTTATGTAATTAATTACGCATCGTGTGATCGTGTTCGTGTCATCGTACAGATTAGGTATACACTGACACTCACACATACGCGTGTCGTGACGTGGTGTTGTATCAGCACGCCGCCGCACGCGTCCACACTTGAACACTTGGAACGTGTACACACTTTATTTATTTATACGGAAATTTTGTCAAAAATTAAGTGCCTATTTTTTTTACATAATTCGAATGAGAATCATGTACCGAGTATTCTCCTTAAATATTGATAGTAATTCACCAGTCACCCTGTATACAAACATACATACATACTTACGGGTATGTATGTACATTGGTTAGGTAGGGAGAGGAGCTTGGACAGTGGAGGTGAGCGTATAACGCGCGTTAGATAGGCCCTCCTTAAACCTACACCTGGGTCGTAAGTCCCAGGCACTGTTGAAGCTCCTCTCACTACAACGATGGACCCGGCACACGCACGATGAATACATGGAATGCTGAGAAGTTTCGTCTCATAAATGAGAAAGTAACTCTGTCTGTCTTTCTGTCTGTTACGCTTTCACGCGTAAACCACTGAACTGATTTTAAATTGAATTAAATTTGGTACAGACATAGAGTTGACCTTGAGAAAGAACATAGGATAGTTTTTATGCCAGACTTTTGAAAGGTTCTCTTGGAAACGCGATATAACTGAATCCACGCGGACGAAGCTGTGGGCGGAAAGCTAGTATCTATATGGTGATAAAATTTGTGAACACCAATAGGCGTTCTTGCGTATTACAAATAAACTACTTGTCAGGTTTTGATGAAATTTGATTGCATTTCTATTGATTAAGCACCAGAAAAATAAATTTCCTTCAATTAATTCCAAAATTTTATGTAGTTCTCGCGGGATCAAAGCATAACAGTTGTATTTAATATAACACGCGACACTCATTATAGACGGTGTGGCTGGTTCATTACAAATTAATGTTTCAACAAACTATTCATTTGTCTTTAAGCCCAATTCAAAAGTTCATGCGGACGAAGTTAAAAACTAGTTCGTATATATTGACTGAAATATCTAACGTATCCTTGTTGTAGATTTTATTTGCACATTAAAGGTATTCATTTAAAAATCTAGCATTGCTCTTAACAGTAAACCTACTATGATGTGAATCATTATTAAATTCAAAGACTATTTCTCTATAAATGAATTGCACCCAAAAAATCCGCAGCCGGTAGGATTCGAACCTACGCTCCCAAAGGGAATCTGATTTCGAGTCAGACGCCTTAACCACTCGGCCACGACTGCTGTGAGATGCCATATGAATGATACTCACCATACACCCAATGAACTATACTCGAACCAACTTCTTTCCATAATAATATGATTATTTTGAAAACGAAAAAAGAAATGTAATCAATTTAAGGTTAATTTAAGCTTAATTATCTGAAGTTAATATTTATAACAATAGTTCTTAACTCACCGTCCTAATTATCTACATTAATTGTTTCAATACGATTCTCATTTATGTGTGTAGCAACACGATAACTAAGGTATGATATCAGTTAAATATTGTAATAGAAAAAGTGTGAGAATAATGTTCTGAATTAAAACCTCAAATATAACTATAAAGATCTGCGTCACTATAACAATTAGACTTACTATTCATAAAGAATCGCTGAAGATTATTATGAAGTTATGGTATCGGAAATACGAAGAAGAATTGTTTTTTACTTCAACAACATTATAGAATACCAATCAATGATTAACCAATGCAATCTTCTATCAGAATATATCCTCATGTTCGTTCGTCATATGTTTAATGTTCTTATGCCTTCTATATCTCATTAGCTATTTTCTATCTTCTTCCTGGCAATATCCCAGCTTTAGCCAGGGTCTGCCTATATGGTCTATATCGTTGTAATATCTATGTTTTCAGTCGGAGTTACCAGAAGAGGCGGGCGTATCTCGCGGGGACCTCATCGTAGGCCTCAAGTTGGACCCGGAGGCCCGCGCCTTGCACGTACTAGTGAAGGAAGCGCGGGGCCTGGTGCCTTCACGGGCTGGCTCATTAGCAGACGTGTTCTGTAAAGCATACCTCCTGCCCGAGAGAGGAAGACTTCACAAACGGAAAACACCCGTCTGTCGCCGAACATTGGCACCGGTCTGGCGGACACAGCTGACGTATAATGACGTCACATCCGTAACACTCAGTGAGCGAGCCCTGGAGCTAACACTATGGGACCGGGATCGACTAGCCTCTAATGAGTTTTTGGGAGCGGTCAGATTATCACTAGGAACAGGCGTGCATAAAGGAGAGAACGTCAGTTGGATGGACAGCGCTGGCAAAGAAGTGACGCTGTGGCAAACAATGCTACAACAACCTAATTTCTGGGTGGAGGGGTCATTGCCCTTACGGCCACACCTTAATAACTAAACATCTCCAAATCAATATCAGTGTTCACACAATACTCTAATATTAATCTGTCCGTGTTTTCTTTAGCGGTAACGGTGCCAATACGATTGTAACTCACTATATATGTTTTATATCTAATATACTGTATGAATGTTTACTGTTAGTATCCATTGTAATATTTTCTTCGTATACATTCCTCGTGATGTTTTCTAAGACTCGTATGTAATGACAATAATATATATTCTGAACTGCCTACTAGTTAAGTTAGTTATGTATTTAAGTTACGCATTTAATGTAGAATTATGTACAAATCGTGTCAAGTGAGCCGCCGTGCTCGCGAGTAATGTGATCGTTGTGTTAAGCGTATAGTGTAAAGTAAATGTTTTCATATTCTTGTATCTGTTTACGTCCATAGTGTATACAAAACGGATTATTTTGTTAAAAATGTCTTTTATAAATATATTGATGTAAGTGAAGAAATAAATAATATGAACAATGTTTAACATTTTATTATTTCCTTGTGTTCTTCTTTTGATACATTCACAGTTTTTTCTTATGGCTATAAATGAATCGTGAATTTCTGGTTTTTTTTTTTCCTACAACCTGCCATTTAAGCTCTTACAGACTTTAATTTACAGTTTTGCTGATGCTCATTATTTATTATATTTAATATAACAACGCTCTTGCTTGTTACGCCAAAACGAACTGTCTTTATTCATAGACAAAACTAAACTCATTAAACTAAAACTAAACTTCATGGGGATGAAACTGTCATATAATTATTAACGTGTAAGTGAATACCCAAATTTGGAGAAATTCATTCAATAGAAAAATATTTTAAATGAAGACATGAAACAAAAGGAAGATTTTAATATTTATAATAATATAAGAATATGTGATCGTCATTTTGAACAGTTTTACCATTCTTTAAGTAAACGACTCACTCAATATGCTGTACCAACTCTATACTTAAGTATCTAAAGTAAGCAACTTCCCAAGTAATTATAGGCACACAATACATACTACTAATATAAAAAACTATAAATAATCAATTGTATTTTATATCTATAGATAATATTTTACATTATTATTATTTTAGTTTAGAAATTGGTGCTCATAATTAAAAACAAAAAAAATAGATTTAATTAAATATAATGAAATAGGTATACAAGACATCTTAACATTTTTACATGTGGTTTGATAGATTTATAATGTGCAGTCTTTATTACCTTTTTATCTAAATAAGGGAAAGTGCCTACAAACAGTATCGCGAAATAACTACTTGTGTCACTTCTTTACATAGGTAAAACAAAAACAAAGTGTTCTAAATATGCAGAGATTATAATTTCACTGGATAACTACAAACGAAATAAAGTTGTTTATAGTTTTTTATGTCATATAAGAATGGCAGTGTTTAATTTAGTAAAAATTACAAGTCTATTTACATTCAATCAGAAACTCTAAAAGAAACGAGGAAGAAAGATACAATCAAGACAATATGTTATCATTTAATTTTAAGATTTTTCATTTAACTTTTCTTTTAATATATTTATTTGTATTAAAAAATATATTTTATTTAGCAGCAGAGACTGTACACTCATCACATTCTGTTGAAACTGAAAAATGTGTTGATACACAAAAAGAAGACAATGATGCATCTTGTAGTCACAACTTGGATTTAAATATGAATCAAGTTCAGCTAAAAAGGAGTTCTCCTAATTCCTCTCAATTATTTCCTAAAGGTAAGTTATGGGCATATAACTAAGCTTAAAATTAACTATGATTGCTATATTTACTTTTAAATTATAAAACAGCATAAAGCATTTTAAATACAATATAAATTTAAACCACAGATTCACTAGATTTGCAAGTATCGAGATTTGTTTCATATTTTCTTCTGCAAATATTGATGGTAGGTTTTATTAGTAGTCATTTATGAATTAAAATTGCAATATATTAAAAATTGTATTCAATAATTATGTCCGTAGGTAATTTGTACACAACGACAAATATGTATATTTTTTGTCTTTCAATAAACATTAATCCCAGTTTTAGATAACCTGATTCCTGTTTAAGTAAATACAGATATATACTCAGATGAGTGATCATCATCTACATTTAAACGTAAGATGTTCAAAAATGTCTTCTCATCGTTTAATTGATTATCTGAAATCCCTAATGACAACTATTAGTCCCTTCATTAGAGATACTACTGTATACATAATTAAACATAACTAACTATATCAATATTTATTATTATTAATATAGATTTTTAATTACCACATAATCCAATGTCATATCAATAGTGTTTTAGTAGATAAAATAACAAAAACATTATTACATATATATTTTATTATCATGTTATAATAAAACAAATACTTCATTCAGTTAAAACTCGAACATACTCAAAAGTGAAATATGCGGCCCAAGTGTTCAGCCAGCGAGTATCAGCAGCTATGCGGTTCTTAACAAGTTAGTATATATTCTTTTCATAGTAGTAGTAAGTTTTATTTATTATTATGTTGACATAAACTTTCTATGCACTTAACATATTACTAATATAACAGCTTAATTTAACAATTAACAGCTTTTTACTCCTGAGGTTGTCTGTAAGAGATCACTATAAGTGATAAGACCTCCTTTGCATACTTATGTTTTTTCTTGTCTTTTGATTTTATTAATTCTTAACTTTACTTGTATGCAATAAAGAAGTTTATCTATCTATCTATCTAAATATAATTTTAATATATTTTTTATTTTCAGATCATAATATTTTGCCAAAAGAGTGTGTCGCCACATCTGGTCACAGTTATCAGGAATGTATTGAAAACGAATTCTCAAGATTTCAAACTGTGGCATGAAACATTACTTGTATTAAACTCAATGAGATATGAAGTAAATAAAAATGGGATAATTTTTTTATTGTGGTACCATCAATTAAAAATTGGATACATGACATTCATGCCACAAAGGAGTTATTTTTTGATTTAAATAAATATAATGGCGTAAGCAGTCTTTTAACAAGAAACTTAAATCAGGATCCTTAAGAGATTTTTTTTTGTAATATTCGAAGTAATGGGATCCATAATGTATCTCCAACTTGCTCTCAATTTGTTGGATTATACAAAACTTTACTTGTAAATAATTTAACTTCGCCACATTCCATTGATGCAAACTGTGATCATGACAATAACAAAATTTTAAAACCTTTAAGTTGCCTTATAAATTAGCAATTAAGAGTAAGAGATACATTAAATGAAAAAATAAATGTGGATTCTTTACTTAATTTGTTGCAAGAAAATGTCAATTTAAAACCCAGCAACATAACCAGCATAGAAGCTAAACGCTATGTTGATGGGTATTTAGTACATAAATGTATTAAAAATGTATGTAAAAATTGTAACATATGTAAAATGCAGTTGTTAAGCACAACACCTCCTGCTAATGATAACTATATTTTATTTAGAGATTACACTAAAAAAACCTGTAAGTATCCGTCGGAGTTTTTGTGTTCATTTTTAGATGATGTTTGTGCAGTCATACAAACACAATTATGTGAAGAACCACAAACAAAAAATTTAAAAGAAAAAAATATTCAAAAAGCTAATTTATATTGTGATTTTTCGTTTCTTTCTTGTGAAAATCACAAAAACCTTAAAGGAGTTTTATTAAATTATAATATCATAGGTACATTTAATAATTCATAGTTTGTGTACCAATATTAACAGGCTCCTTACGGGAAAGTTTACAAATTGTCCAAATAATGAGGATAATATTAAAGTCCAAGCGATTACATATTATAATACTCACAAAAAGAAAAAATAAATATTTGAATATATTTTCTGCTTTTAATTTTACTTTTTTTTTTAAGTGTGCTAAGTAAGTAATGTTAATGCCTGTTAAAAAGGGGGCCAAGTTCCAATCGGCTAATTGTTTGCCTAAAAAAGGGGTGAAATCCAATCTAATGCCAAGTTTAGATGCACTTTGAAATCGATCATAATCATCTTCATCAACAGCATGATCCACTGGTAAACATTTGCCATTCCCAAGACTCGCCACCACACCCAGTCCTCTGCCTTCCACATCCAGCCACTACCCGCCACCTTATTCACGTCAACGGTCCATCTGGCCGAAATTCACTTTACCATACACCCAACTTAAAATATGGTATAGTTGTGAAAATACGTAGGTGCTTGGTTGAAAATATCTAAAATTATAATACATCTCAATTTGAACTTGGCAGGTTTTTGTGCTGTACGTAACACTTAATTAATTGTATCATTAATTTATTATTTAGTTATATAATTATTTATATTTATATAATTTAAATATTATATAATTTAAATTATTAAATTAACCTGCCAAGTTCAAATTTAGAAGTATTATAATTTTAGATATTTTTAACCAAGCACCTACGTATTTTCACAATTATACCATATTTTAAGTTGGGTGTATGATAAAGTGAATTTCGGCCAGATGGACCGTTGACGTGAATAAGGTGGCGGGTAGTGGCTGGATGTGGAAGGCAGAGGACTGGGTGTGGTGGCGAGTCTTGGGAATGGCAAATGTTTACCAGTGGATCATTCTGTTGATGAAGATGATTATGATCGATTTCAAAGTGCATCTAAACTTGGCATTAGATTGGATTTCACCCCTTTTTTAGGCAAACAATTAGCCGATTGGAACTTGGCCCCCTTTTTAACAGGCATGTTTTTGGTGAGATTTCAATACTTTTTTTCAAGAAATCGTACATACAATCGTACTATACAGCCGTACAATGCATAACTTACAGCATGAAACATACAGCTACCATCTGATGGCATAGGAATTACCCTATGTGGTATATCTCCGCCAACCACCGAAAGATGTACAATTTCCATCGTTGGTAAATGAATAGTAGAAAAGAAATAGAGTGAATTTGTGCTTTTAATACACACAAGTAATCAATCAATAAGCAATATCAAGATTAATCCTTTAGCAAGTCAAATCAGTGATCCATTTAGTCGTAATCGTAACCACATATAAGATATCAAGACATAAGTGTAGAAAAAAATAGAAAGAAATGACCATCGATTCCTTATCGACTTTCATTCATATATACTGCAGACAAAACAATATCGCGTTTCAACTATACCGCTAGCGCCATCTATCGAAAGTAATTTTTAACAATAGAAACCTGATTTTTTAGGTAAGCATTATTTAATTAAGTTATACAGTGTGCATTATGTATACATGACAATATTTTATATCCCTTATATATATATATCAATTCTTAAGAAGCGCCCCACATTTTTTTCACAATAATATTAATTTAAAAATAAATTAACAAACAATAAATGGTATTTTTGTGAAAAAAGCGTGGGGAGCTTCATATATCAGTTCTTGAGAAGCGCCCCACGCTTTTTTTTCAATAATACCATTTGTTGTTTATTTTAAACAATTTAAATTAAATTGATTTCCAAGGTCGTAAAGGTTAAATTAGTTTCCACGCGGTTTCTCTCATCATTGGAGCGTGTTTTTAGTTTTTTTTAAACTATATTTATTTTTTATTTTTTAGTTTCATTTATCACCGATTGATAGATGTACTCATATTATTAATTATTAATATTTCATTATTATGTATTTTATTGTGCTGAGCTGAGCGCCTATATAAAGGTTTTGATTACCTGTCAGTGAGTCAGTGCCAAAATTAGCTATTTTCACAGGGTCATATTTCAGGATTTACTGAAGCTTTATCTATGAAATTTGGCATACTCCTTTAGGACTAGTATATGATTACGTAGGTACAATTTTATCTCTGTACTTGCAATAGACACTGAGCTACAGGGGGTCAAAAGTGGGTCGAATTTATTAAAAATTCGATATTTAGAATTGAGGCAACTCACGCTTGACCGATTTCTTAAATTTCTTAATTTTTTGTTAATCTACATATAACACACAACCTGTGTACCAAATTTCATAATGCTAAAACAATGGGAAGTGGCCTAGAGGTTTTGATTACCTGTCAGTGAGTCAGTGCCAAAATTAGCTATTTTCACAGGGTCATATTTCAGGATCTACTGAAGCTTTATCTATGAAATTTGGCATACTGCTTTAGGACTAGTATATGATTACGTAGGTAAAATTTTATCTCTGTACTTGCAATAGGCACTGAGCTACAGGGGGGTCAAAAGTGGGTCGAAACGGTTCGTGTAAATATAGTGCACGGCATGCGCCGGCCTGTGGAACTTGGCCGGCGCACTACCGTGCGCTTAGATAATAGAGGCAAAACACCAGAAGTTGGATTTTTGAACTTATGCACATTATTTATTCTTATTTTAATATTATTATTAACTTTAATCAACCAAAGATTTCTAATATAGTGTATTATCTATGACTAAACTACTACATGTGTCTTACATATTTACCACTAGATGGGGCTAGTTGTATTACTTTTATATAAACTAACAATATTTTCTGGAAATGTGAACCGTGAAGGAAACAAACATACATTCATCAATATATTTATATATTAAGAACAATGTATGTTACAAATACATTTCAAAAGACAGTTCATTGACGTTACGTTCAGACAAAGATCACATCGAAGAATAGTAATAACATCCATGTAAAAACATCTTACAAAAATATTTACTAACAGAGTATGTACAGAAACGAGGGTAGACTTCACTTATAGAAAATATTAAAGGACTGTGGAGATACATTCAATATACATAGCACGAGACACAGGGAGAGATAGTTGTATGTATGTACAATGGAAGTTATGTCGCGGTATATGTGTATAGTTATGGGGGAGTCCAACCACCGAACTTGACCTCTAGTTCCTTAGCGACAGCCAGGCACAGTCGGTCCTGACCAGGGCCTGCCACTACCTGCACCGCGAGGGGCCTGGACCCGGGCTTCGGGCCTGGCATCGGGACCGTGGTCGCCGGCAGGCCTAGCGCGTTGAACGGCATCGTGTACACAACACCCGGCGCGTGAACGAACACGCCGCCGTGAGCGTGACTTGAAGACGAGTGACACGGGAACAAAAACACGCCATTCGACGAGAGAACACGCTGTATATAGAGAAGGGTATAGGAAATGAGATAGAACGTTCATCTTACTAATATAATTATTGCGAAACTTTGTGTGTGTGTGTATGTTTGTTACTTCTTCACGCTCGAACGGCTGAACCGGTTTTGATAAAATTTTGTATACAGGAAGCTGACGTCCAGGAATAACACATAGGCTATTTTATATCCTGGAAATCTGCGGGTAACACCGCGGGGCGCAGAAGTTGATAAATAAGACATTAGAGGCCTTACACACGGTTATAGTGCGTTTGATTTAAGCTGAGCTTCGCATTTGTGTGAGTGTACACGGATAGTGTAGGTGTGATATTAAATTTGTGCGTGCCAAGTTCTTTTCTAGGTTTGAACCGGTTTAAACTGCTTTTACTCCTCTCCACACTTTGTACTGGTAGCAAAATCAAATGTTGAAAAAGCAATGTCAAGTGAAGAAGAATTTGTATAGTTTTTCAAAATTTTTATCAATTATTATTTATTTTTTTTAATTTATAATATTTCTATCTGACCTTTTACAAGTTTTGCTTTAAATTTTATAGCACTTATGTTATATATCTATTTAAAATATAATAATATTTAATTCTAAAAGTTTTTTGTATAACTCTACTTTTACTTCCACTCACACAAATGCAAAGCTCAGCTTAAGTCTAACGTACTATGCACCGAACTCTGGAAAATCTAAACGAGGTATTTACTAATCATCCTTCAAAATTATAATTGTCTGTCAAAATATTTACTTTCCATGATGAAAAGTTAACAACGTTTGATTTTATTTTACAAAAAGAGTTTGGCTTAACTGAGTCTTAAGCTCCTATTTACTGATGATAGTATTAAATAAAATATCTTCAATATTAATTCAATATTACTGACTTTAATAATTTTAAGGTCAAAAATATTAAGTGGAATTTATACCTACGATGGCAACACTTAAAATATACAGGGTGACTGGTGAATTACTATCGATATTTTAGGACGTGATATTTGACGATCATATATGACAAAATAAAAATTAATATAACATAAATATTAATAAACTTCTAAGTAAAGTTAACCAAAAGTTATGTAATTAATTACGCATCGTATGAACACCCTACAGATTAGGTATACACACACACACACACTCGCGCGCGGCGGTGTGTTGTTGTATCAGCACGCCGCCGCACGCGTCCACACTTGGAACACTTGGAACGTGTACACACTTTATTTATTTATACGGAAATTTGGTTAAAAATTAAGTACCTATTTTTTTTACATAATTCGAATGAGAATCATGTACCGAGTATGCTCCTTAAATATTGATAGTAATTCACCAGTCACCCTGTATATGTATAGTTAAATTTAAACAAAATATAATAATAATCTGTTTTGTAACTTTTCCAAAAACTCTAATCCGAGAAGTAATAACTCATTCTTAGTAATCTTATGTTAATAAGCCAATCATAGATCTACCTAACCTCTATCAACCTTCTATACTTGGTCTTCCCCAACTTATTTTGTCTGCTGAACTTATTTTGTTTGAAAATTATTTATTTTTTAGCGCTCTCGTTATTTCGCGTGCTAAAAAAACACTATAAATTATCCCATCTATTGAAAATTAATTTCATTATAATGAAGTTTCAAATCGCCCCCAGGCCTCTACACAACACCCTATTTTTTCTCGCCCTCTTTAGAAGAGGCTGATGTCTACCGTGTTATGTAAGAAGCGAATTATTATTTAGTTAGTGCGTTTTAATTTCAAATCATTCTCAGTTGATTGTGTTTGTATACTACGAGTATCATGTATATTATAAGTTGAGTTCCTACCTCCATCTTTTCCCTCAGCTTGTTAGCTTTCTCTATATAGTAGGGCGCCTTCCTCGCGGGTACAAACAGCCTCTTCCTCTTGAGTAGCTCGAAGCAGAGCGCCTGTAAAGACCTTTTTCCCGAGCCGAATAACGTCTTCAAAGTTTCCAGTATCAGGTTTTTCTCACGCTGAAACATTATATCACGTACTATAAAGATATATACGTTACGGGCAAAGTTATTAATCGGCAATAATGCCCAGTAAGAGTTGGCAATTTGATCCATAAACAATCATTATCTTATATATTTAAATGAGCAATTCTTGTATATATATTTACATATAATTGGAATATGACTCTTCATGACATCTATTGGCGATACTACTTTTTGCTAATTGCTTTAACGACACAACAGCAGATGGCGTTGCTAGAAATTAATTGTTGATTTATATTGTTTTGTGTCTTCTTAACGTGTATACTTAAAATGCCTAAACGAAATTAAAAAAAACACAAAATAAATACATAGTAATAATTCCTAAATACCGAGCAAAGCTTGGTAGCCAGATGTTATCACATTACCAGGCATTATGAATACTGCCCGCATTATAATTTTGTATATAACACATAGTGTAACAGTAAGTCTTTAATAGTACCTTAGGATTTGCGGGGTCCAGCAACATGTTAGGAATGTCTTTCATAGAAAAGAAAACTGACGAAGACATCTCCACCGCGTCCTTCAACTCATTGAATTTTTCCTGACAATATATAAATAATACACGATAACAATATATTAGACGAAATAAGTCACCTTGAGGGACGATACATACAGATACATCAAATTTATGTTTAGGATGGAACATATATGTACAGCAAAAACATATTTAATCCTACTAATATTACGAGTATAATTGCGAAAGTTTGTGAGTGTCTGTGTATTTTTGTTACTTCTTCACGCTCAAACGGCTGAACCGATTTTGGTAAAATTTTGTATATAGGAAGCTGAAGCTACTTTACAACCCGGAAATCTCGGAAATCCGCGGGTAACACCACGGGGCGCAGCTAGTACAAAATATACATCAATTTAATATTCAGGATGGAACATATGTATATAGCAAAGACATATTTAATAAATACATATTAACCAAAAAATTACATTTCTTTGTTTAATTTTTCTCTATCAGAACTTTATATAACAAAATTCATGTAATTCTAAGAGTTAGTTGACACACACCTCACAGACGGTAGCGCCGCGCTCCTTCAAGTGTTGTACGGCCGCCAGGACCGCGAGCTTGATGTTGTCCTCCACCGGGGAGAAGGCCAAGGACTGAGACGCCTCCGTCATGAAGAACACCTGGAACATGACGTGACGTGACATGACATGAGGGAACTTGGCATGACATTCATATCTAGAGCAACACACTAACTTTCATTGGTTATAATGAAGATATTGATGAAAAAATATGCCAAATTAAGTTGGTCCCATGATAACATGGTTGACTTTTTTTGCACAAGGATTTTGTCGAAGTTAATTAATTAATTGTACATTATACTCTTCGTTTCGATTACTACACTAACCACGAGGTCAAATCTCATATTATTATTTTTATGAGAAATCAGCAAACGAGCAGACGGTATACTTGATGGGCAGTAACAAGCTATAGACATCTTCTAGATAAGAGATGTCGCATCTGCGTTGTTAATCCTGGATATTAAGGAACAGGGAGGGAAGGGATTAAGAAATAGAAAAAGTGGGAAAAAGAAACGTACAACCGTCTCTCATTCATCTAGACTACTTCACCGATGTTCTATGAGATTGCGGTACATCCCTGTTCGAGCTGTAGTAACCCTATAAGTAATAACCCTTCGTGTTACCTTCAAGTGTTGTATGTCGACGGGCCTGTGCAGGTACAGGTCCTTCCCCCCCTCCCCCGCCAACACGTGCATCATCAGGTACAGGTCCTCGGAGTATCTAGTGATGGGCCCCACGGTCAGGAAGCGAGAATACTGCTCGTCTTGAAGCGTAGGGATGTGACCCGAGATGGGAATTATACCTGGGAATAAATACGTGGAAAATACTTAGAATTTCGAAGATATTAAGTCTTAATTCTTAAGTCAGTCATCTCGTATAAACTAATAAAACAACGTGCTTGCTTGTTACGCTAAAAAGAACTGTCTTTATTCATAGACGAAACTATAAACTACATGTATCTTACATGTGTCTTACATATGTACCACTAGATGGCGCTAGTTGTATTATTTTTATATAAACTGAAATGATACAATTGTTGCTGTATGTGAGCATTTATGATATTATTTGTTTACTTGTGTCATTTAGTTAAATAAGCCGATCGTGTTTTTGCTAATGTCTCGAGGAAAATTGTGAATAAAATACACAGTAGCTTCAAATAGTTTGTTTTTTACATAATAGTTGTTATTATAACGTATTATATCACCACCATAGTGTGGAAACAACGTTTTTGCATATGTAGTGTAATATCAAAAAAAAGTAACGTTTATATGTATTTTAACAATTAAAACATTATATAATAGAGTGTTATATTGATGTTAATTTAATATTTCGTTGTTTTTTGTAAACATATTATTACGGTGTATTTAAATGAAAATAATATATTCTGATTACTACGCGTTTTTTAGTATTTCAAATAACATTCTCCCCACGTTTCAGTCAATTCGCAGCAACCGTGATCACCGTAACCGAAACGTCGGTCGTACTCGTATGTAGTTTAAAATAATATAATAACGCGTTGGAATCCGAAAATATTAGTTTCATTGAAAAGAATTCTCGCGAAATCTGAAATCTCATTATTATGGTATATGTGTGTGTGTGCGTGTGTGTGTGTGTGTGTGTGCGTGTGTGTGTGTGTGTGCGCGTGCGTGTGTGTGTGCGTGCATGTGTGTGTGTGTGTGCGTGCGTGTGTGTGTGTGTGTGTGTGTGTGTGTTTCTCGTCGTACCTGGCGTGGGCTTGTGTCCAAAGAGTCCGCAGAAAGCCGCGGGGATCCTGATGGAGCCCGCGATGTCAGACGACACTGATAGCACGGAGGCTCCCGAAGATACTAACGCCGCCTGGGAGATATATATATATATAAAAAGAGATAGAGATATGTCGAGAATAGGCAATGGGAATTAATTACTATATAAAGAACCAAAAGGACCACATGTTTTGGGTACAAAAGAAAGAGAAGGAATTTAAGTTCTATATCTTCTTCTTCCTGGCAATTTCCCAGCTTTAGCCAGGGTCTGCCTCCCTACTTCAACGCTTCAACGCAAACTTTGCACGGTCTTTGGCATCCTCGGTGGTTAGTCCGTTGACTATATGACATGTCATAAATATTACAAAATGTATGAATAACGAGTGTTATGTATAATACAATATGACAATACAGTCATTAATCTTTTCATTATATAAGTACATATTTAATGACATAAATTATAACATTATTGAATTAATTATAATTTATAGTATTTGTGATAACTCAACTAGCCAGTGGTGTGATTCAAAGAAAATAAAATGTTTTGTGGCGTAGGTTCGAAACCTGCTAAGTACCGATGTGATTTTTCCGAGTCATATGTACTGTCTAAGAGTATTTAGACATCACTGACTGATGAATAAAAACATCGCGAGGAAACTTTTTGTATTATTCCGATCATTCAATATGATCAATGTATTTTTTTGTCATTAAAAATATTTGCTAAAAAGACACGACCTATCAGCAGTGCTAAAGAGGCAGACATATCATTTTCCTTTCGAGGAATATTAATCTTTCTTCGATTATTTTAATTACCACCTGTTACTGGGCTTGCAACCAAAATGAATACATTTTTTACTTACCACCTGGCATCATAAATATCGTTCAATCATAATGATCTCTAAGATTTTCGCGAGTACTCATTTAAATGAAACTAATATTTTCGGATTTTACTTCATACTCACATCTCGTCTGCCCGTGATCACGGTTGCTGAAAAGTAGCCGAAACGTCGGGATTACGTAGTTTGTAATCAAAAATAAAAAACGCGAAGTAAAATCCGAAAATATTAGTTTCATTTAAAATCGTTCAATCATTTTATAATTTTAAAACATTATAAGTCGTCTCAAATCAATATCTACTAAGTATATCTCAAACTTTGCCTAGTACGGCAACAAATATCCATATGGTATATACCCTCACAAACTTGGACTATTGGACTATATTGGACTACTGGACTATTGTACTATTGGACTATTGTACTATTGGACTATGGGACTATAACTTGGACTATCGATAATAATGTTTCCCACCTCTCCGCCCGAGGATCCCGCCGGTGTCCTCGCGAGGCCGTACGGGTTGTTGGTGCGCCCTCGCAGTAAGCTGGTCGTCTCCCAGCCCAAACACAGTTCAGGGGTCGCTGACACCAGCAGGGGTATCCCACCCGCGGCCCGCACCCGACTAACAGCCCCGCCGTCTATTAACGCTCGACGATCCCTGAACTCCAAGCAGCCCACGGAGTTGGACATACCTAGAGTATACGTTACTTATAGTGGGTAATGAGGGTAGAAATGGCTATTATGAATAACTAGCTGCGCCCCGCATTGTTACCCGCGGATTTCCGGGATGTAAAGTAGCCTATGTGTTATTCCTGGACGACAGCTTCTTGTATACAAAATCTTATCAAAATCGGTTCAGCCGTTTGAGCGTGAAGAAGTAACAAACATACACACACTGACAAACTTTCGCAATTATAATATTAGTAGAATTGAAGAGAATATAAATTTTGATATTGTATTTTTTTTTTGTATTGTTTTAAGCAGATTACATACATTACAATAATATCAGTCTTACCGGCGAGTGAGCAGCTTTCCTTAACAGTGAACGGTACACCGAGCAATGGTTTACCAGCTACTAAGGTGTCCAGGTCACCTCTCGCTCGAGCCTCGTCTATCTTTCTATCAATCTCAATCGCCTCCTCCTTGGCCGCTTTGAAGCGATGTTCGACAACGGCATTGATGTACGGATTGACTTCTTCTATCCTCAATATAAATCTTGACACTACATCTTCACTTGTCACCTGTCAATGGAGATTGTCATAAGAATTTTTTCATACCATAAAAATTTTAGGATGGCCAAAAAAAAAGTGTAGCCTAATTGGTAAATACTTCAAAGGCGTTAATTACGTATTTAGATAAACTTTGAGAAACTATTAACATATGTGTATTGCAGCGATGTTCACTAAATAAACACTTTCAATTCCAAGTTTCCTTGTAAATCACTGTGTAACAAGTTAGCGAGACTGTTTACTGTAGATCTCCAGTTGGTCACAGTACTTACGAGTCTATTGATGTCCGATACAAGACATACTTAAGCTACGATTTTTGGAAGAGGCTTTTATTATAAGGAAAAAACGAAAACCAACTCTCACTAATTACCTCTAGGAAAAAAAAACCTTTAAAAGACATTTAAACTCTCCGTAGATTATGTAGGGAGGTTGTGGAAGGCTATTAAGAAAAATAAGTCACAGAGGTGAAGTTAATTTAGCTGCTATTTAACTGAATAAAAATGTATTCTATCTGTCACGTGTACATGTTAAACGAAAAGAAGCTACCCAAGTAAATTTTCAATCGATCAAATTTTGTTATTGCTTAAGAGGTCTAGTCCTTACAATACACTCAACTGAATGCAGTCATTCATTTGTGGTTTTTCTTCGCGTTAGACGTAACATCGTCATAGATATTATTGGTGGGGAGCTCAAATCTCACCGGTGTTTAGAGCTACTAAACCTAAGCGTTTCAATATTAAGACTATCAACTCACCTCCCCGTTGTATATATCAGCCGCCAACTTCGTCGCGCTTTTCATAAGCAGTGGGTCCTTGATCGGAGGTACTCTCTGCTCTTTGCGGGTCCGCAGCCAGAAAAACGGCTTCGTGATGAAGCGTAGGACCCTTAATAACACGCCGAATATCCAAACGACTACCTCCATTCTGAGGGAGAAATAAACAGCTATAAGTCCACACTCCACATGCCAATACAGTATTAATTATTATACAGTAGATTATTGCAACCTATGTCTACTATTTCTTCTTCTACATTAAGATGTTCTGAACTAAAAACATATACATAGATTTTAGCCTCAATAATACATATATCTAGTATAAAATTTAATTGAGTATTCATTTATAAGAATACTATAGCCGCTGCTTCTCAAACACGCAAACGCAAATACAAGTGTTCTGTCCTTATAGAATTTTTGACCGTATTTTTATAAACATATCTATTTATTTCACTCGTTGTGGTATGAAGGGTTGTTAATAAGTTTATTGCAATATACTTAAATGGCAGCAGGCCAAAAGACTACTATCAGTATCTGAAATCATAGGAATCCTTTAAGAATCCATTCTGCCCTACTCCTTTTTGTTATACATGTATATAAACTATATCAAAAGCTTGTGTGAAAATGTACTGAATTGTTTGTAGTTATTGGAACATAACAGACAAAGTAAACAATGCTTAATAAGCTTGATGCTTAGAAAATACATATATTGTGTATAGATTTGAAGAGTTTTTTTAATAAGCTTGACCATAAAATGGGCTTCAAGTATGCAGCCACAGAAAATAGTAATCTCAACTACATTCATATAAGTGTAGTTGTCCCGAGTTCAACGAAAAGAGATAAAAATTGTAAACAAACATTTAATTATTACTTCGTTTATACTGGGTGACTGGTGAATTACTATCAATATTTAAGGAGAATACTCGGTACATGATTCTCATTCGAATTATGTAAAAAAATAGGTACTTAATTTTTGACCAAATTTCCGTATAAATAAATAAAGTGTGGACACGTTCCAAGTGTTCCAAGTGTGGACGCGTGCGGCGGCGTGCTGATACAACACCACGCCGCCGCACGGGCGTGTGTGTGTGTATACCTAATCTGTAGGGTGTTCACACGATGCGTAATTAATTACATAACTTTTGGTTAACTTTACTTAGAAGTTTATTAATATTTATGTTATATTAATTTTTATTTTGTCATATATGATCGTCAAATATCACGTCCTCAAGTATCGATAGTAATTCACCAGTCACCCTGTATATACTTATTGTACATTTCATTATTCAAGCTACGTTCATTAAACTTTTAGAAGTAAATTTTATTATATTTTACATAGATACACGACATCAGTGTGAGAGCTATTCTAGATTAAAAATAAAATATAGAAAACTTGTGAAATGCCTAGATGGAAATATCATGGAAAAAATGGCGTATTCAACATTTGACGCTGCTACCAGTACAAAGGGTGAAGTGCGGAAGGTGCGGAGCGGAGTAAAAACACTATAAACCGGTTCAAACCTAGAAAAACCATTGGCACGCACAAATTTAACATCACACCTACACTACCTACACTCACACAAATGCAAAACTCAGCTTATGCATGCGCACTATACTTATATAATTGCTATCACTTCGAATAATTTAAATGACACTTTGAGGAAGTAAGTGTATTTTTTCTTTTAAGATTATTAATTGCAAACCTCAACAGTGAACTAAGTAACATACAAGTTACATATATAAAAATGATTATCAAGTGCGTCTCTTCAAATCGCAGCAAACAATGATGTCAGCGTTACATGTTTAAAGCTCTATGTACAAATATCGCTATGTTCCTGTATACACTACACTATTTGTCGTTACTTTAAATTATTTCATACTTCCTTATACTTAAATCTTAGATGGTGACAGAACGAGAAGTTATGCCTTTAACTCTTACTATAGGAAAGGTAAAATGTTCCAAAGAAATTTGTTTACATCGATAAATTGTGACGATTTATTCAAAAAATACAAAACAATTATGTTTTTTGTGTATAAATTTCTATTACTTATATCAGTTATAGATGAATTAATAGTATCGTGATCTGTGCTCGCTATTTTGTTGACTGTGGGATGTTGAGGTCAGCTAAAGACAGACGTGTGTGAGATGTTAAATACTAATATTACCCTATATTATGTCGCCTTGGATACAAACTGAACCTTTGAAATACCATCACAAGCAAGACGATTCAAAAACTAAGATGAAAATAGTTTAGCTTACATCATATTAAAATTGACGTGAATTTTTTAACATGATAATTGTATTCTTTATAATAAATAAAATATGTGAGAAGAAAAATTTAAATACGTATTTTAACTTATGTGTAATTAAAAGCCGGACTTTGTTATTTAAATGTCTAGATTTAGAATTAAAATTAAACAAAAAACTATACATCTGACGTCTGTACTGTTGGGAGACGTAATTTGCATATATATTTTACTGATGATTTTTGATTTTACCAAAAAATATACATAAATTATATAAATGTGAGCAAAAATTTTTAAATAAAAGATTTTAAATAATTATGATATAATGTAGGTAAAAGTTCAAATTTCAAGGTTCTTTTAAGGAAGGAGTGTGTTTGAATATTCTATTCTTGATTGTATTGTTAATATTTTTGCAATATATTATTATTTATTTATTTAATTCCTTTATTTAAGTTTAGATTTTGTAAAATTATTATTAATTTGAAACTGACCTACGAGTATTTGTTTTATACAGTTGAACGGAACTACTGATTACAAACTCATAAGAAAATTTAGTATATTGTTTAACATAGGTAAATTTCTTAATATATTGTTAAAAGGAAACTTAACTCAGTCGAATGTTCTTAAACGGTTTTATACTTTAGATAAATATTATACTATTAGTTTATCACTCTGACAGAGATGTGATAATTAATTCAATAAGCAACAACACATAACTCGTAATAGTTTTTTACGTTCTCACATGTAGTAAGTCGTCCTTCTGTTTGTAAATATTATCAAAGGATTCCTAGTGTACGAGATGATATGAACATCTCTATATAAAATAATAAATATTCATTGACCTTCAACTTGAAGATATGTATAATAAAATCTAAGACTTTCGCGAGTATTCATTTAAATGAAGCTAATATTTTTCGGATTACTACGAGTTATTTTAACTACATACTCCCGACCTTTCGGTTACTTTACAGCAACCGTGATATTAGTTATTTAAGATATCCAGTGTGAATGTAACGAAAATATTTCTTTCCGCGTGTTTTCATAAATTGCATTACTTTATTATTTTCTCGAGCTGAAGCCTTACATAGCTCTAGTACTAGAGGACTGTTGAATAATGTCTACAGATAATACTCGTTCCGGCTACGTGTTTAATTAAAACATTTGTTATTTTATGGTTCAAGGGATAACACTACTTATCAGTCAGATAAAGTCAGTGGTGGCCTAGTGGTTAAAGGGTCCACCTCTCGTTGCCGAGGGCGCGGGTTCAAACCTGGCAAGTACCAATGTGATTTTTCGGAGTCATATGTACTTTCTGAGAATATTTAGGCATCACTGACATACGGTGAAGGAAAACATCGTGAGGAAACCTGGACTTATAGTTTCACAATTATAAGTTTGAAATCACCAACCCGTCTTGAGCAAGCGTGGTGATTAATGCTCAAACCTTCTCCATGTGAGAAAGAGGCCTTTGCTCAGCAGTGGGCGTTCATAGGCTGATGACGATGACTACTTATCCGCTTTCCTCTTGTTATGTACTGAGTTTGACGTTTCACGAGCTAGAGGCCAACAATTAATTTGTATGCTAGCTTACAACAAACACAAACTATTCATAGTTTGTTTTTAATTCTCCGTCAACTCTAGTGTGAGATGAATCGAGTATTGGTCAATTTGATGCTAGACTCAATTCGCCAAGAAAGGTCTTGCAAATAGGCTTTTGATCTTTATAGTTGGGTTGGGTTGGAGAAGAAGGGTCAACCTTATTTGGTTATAAAAGTCTTAGTGAGGTCTGTGTCTTTTGTTGGTGTTTTTTCTTCTCCAGATTATTTACTAGGCTAGATATTTTGTGCATTGAGTTGTGTTATATATCCTGAACACATTAAGTAAATCACGACTGCTAATGTTCGCTACATAGGTGTACTTAGATATAATATTTTCAAAATGCACTAGGATTTTCACAATAACAAATGATTTCTAGTTGAAACTATAAATCTATTTATTCATGTTTATTCTTGTACATGTCATTGCTATTTAATATATTTAATTATTATCAAACGCTTAATGAGTTACTGTCTTCTTTTTGCGATTAGATTCTACTCATAGAAATCGTAACAGCAAAGGATATTTTTTTCCTATTTTTTTAGAACGGACGAGTTATATTTCGTTTTATTAGATATCATCTTAACAGTCTGAAGTAATTTTTACTTATATATAGATATTTTCTTAAATTATTTCTTTCAAAATATCCATAGGTATTATAAATCTTTTTATATATCTCATTATTGCTATATCCCGTACAGTAACAGACAACTTCCCGCGTTTAACACCCACAACACTGATTTTAAAATACTAAAACAACATAATATATGAAGATCTTCATATAAAAAATATATACGTATTCATAAAACATTTCTTATAATTTCTATTGATGTACGCGTCTATTGTTCCAAATAAAGTATGAAAGCCGCTATCATTATTCAATACAAAAATGGCATGAAATAACAAGATACCGCTATATAATAAATATATTATTATAGTACTACTTACTTGTATTTAACAAACTGTCACTCGTATTTTACATAACTAGTATATAAGAAGTGTAGTTACTTCGTCCGCGTCACAGCACGTACTGCCTTAGCTAACATAATGTAACGGGCACGCATATATATATTATTGTACTTGTACTATTTTGGTGATCAAGGTCACTATCAAAAATATATAAAATATAAAAATATACATCAAAATTTATAGGGAAATTTTATTTTCACCTTATATGAAATTCTGTATATTTTGTTGAAACAATTATATCTGAAAATAATGTTTATATTATGGTTTATACTTGCGATAAATAAAAAGAGATGCGTCAAAGATTTTTAATTTATTTTTCACAATTTTATTTTTGGGGGTAATTTTTACTTTGTACATAATGAATTTTATGTATGAAATTATGAAAATAAAGTAACAAAAAAAGTAATTTAATTAAAGTTAATAATCAGTATTTCCTCCCCTAATATTAATTAGAGTTCGACATTATTTTTTATCCTCAATATTAAGTTAACTAACTCGAGCTGTGGTACCAGGTCCTAGGTTCTTTTCAAGTGCAGGAAAAGTTGTTCTTCTGTTATCAAATTTGGAGAAAAATTTACCATAGCTCATAGTTGTAACATGTCCCATGCAATATCAATAAGATTCATGTCGGGGGACCGAGCGAGCCAGTCCATAACCCTGATTTCATGTTCCCTAAATACTGTTTTTAAGTTAAGAAGTTTTTCGTGTAATATCCCTAGACATTGTTGATGTGTATATATCCTATCACATTAGAAAAGTGTTCAAAATGTAATAATTAATAGTATAAGACTAAATGAAATTTAAACACCAATCGCTTATGTCCTTATTATTTTTAAAGTACATACATATGTATAAGAATGTTTATGAAAGTCAGTGGTGGCCTAGTGGTTAAAATGTCCGCCTCTTGTGCACGAGGGCGCGGGATTGATCCTGGCCCGGAAAAGTACCAATGTGATTTTTCCAAGTCATATGTACTTTCTAAGAGTATTTAGACATCATTGATTATTGCATTCCTAAAGATGGTTAATGTCAAGCCGGCGGCCGGTCGTAAAAGCAATTAGCTAAAACTATTCACAACATGTAAGGCAGACCCTGGCTATAGCTGGGAAATTGCCAGGAAGAAGAAGACATATATGAATGTTCATAATAAAATAATTACGTGTTAAGATTCTGAAATAAATTTTTCAATACATTATTATTACTTTTGAATGAAACTACTTACACTATTCAGTACTGAGTTTTTATTTTTTATTAAAGTGATCAAATTTAATACTAATAAATTTAAATAAAATAACTATTAATCTACTTACTATAAAATCGATTATTAAAAATAACTAATTGTTTTTTAATAGAACGGGCGTTAGAAAATTAGGTGTTTACCTAAACTAAAACCTTTGTATCAAATGCAGTGTATTTTACAGAGCGGCTAAAAATCTATCAGAGTTTAAGCCGGCTTAGGATAGACGGCTTAAATCCAACCTAGTTATATACAATACATAACAGTTATTAAAATTTTAAATGTATAGAAAATATACAAAATAAATCTAGCATTTTTTTTAAATTGGATTTTCCAATATATGGATTATGGGTGAATATTAATAAAAATGTTATTTTCAATTTAATTTTTCCTTCATCATTGAGTTGCATCTATTTCTCGTTATTTTTAATTCGACCGCAATCAAGTTTAATTTAATTTAGTGTGCGTTTAATATAATTACGTCCGTATTTCAGTTAACGACCTCCCTTTATATGATGCGCTAAAATCAATTAGCTTGGTAATAGCCTTATTATGTAATATATAATTTTTAAGCTATTGGTAATATTATAAAGCGATGTAACAAAGAGAGATTTAAAGAAAGTAAGTAACTTCATAACTTAAGTACATTGTTTAGTTTCATACACATCAAATAGATAAAACAAAAAATAAAATATAAAAAAATAAACTTACAGAACAAAAATGAAGACGATGATGCATTGCTGAAACCCTGTTTAAAATAAATAAAAATGATTTAAAAAATATTATAGAAATAGACGAAATAATGTAAGATAAATATCAGAGTCGAAATAATCGAGCTTAAGTACGTAAATTCAAAATATTTTATAATTATCTCTTTACAGTAAACGAGTAGGCTAAGTAAGTTAGCATTAATAAATTTATAAAAAAATAGTAGCCCTTACGAGAGGTATCCAAAAGTAATTATAATTAGGTACTTTTAAAACTCGTAATACTATAAGTGTATTTGATGTTTATATAAGATTAATGAAAAACAATAAAGTTCATCAGTTTTCGGAGGATACATGGTAGTATTACAGAGAGAGCTCTTGTGGAGAAAAACAGGGTCCTACTTCTTCTTATTTTACGTGCACTCTAGACAAGAACTGGGTAAACATCTACTATTGATGTAAAGTCATTTGAACACCATATGTATGTGAGAACCCAAGTATATCATATGGTAGTATTCAAAGAATACTTATGAAGCAATTGCGAAAAGAATGATGAAGAAGGCAGTTATTAGAAGAATCCGAAAAATTGTAGTTTCAACGCAATATTTTAAAGTCCCAGAGCGTCATGAAAATATTTGACATGTTCGTCATTGTGGGCGTAAACAATGTTCAATACATATATCTACATGCGTATTTAATATTTATATAGATCACTCAGTCAAAGATCACTTACTCTGAAAAGCACGCTTCTCTACTACGGACTTTATCGAATTTGGAGGTAATAAGTTCGTAGGGAAAATTATTACCAATTATGACGCATTTTTAAATGATAAGAAAAACTTATATATATAAGGCTCTAACTGCATGGATATTATTTAAAAAAAATCGGGGATATTTTTTGGGATCTTGGCGTGATTGACTAGGATTAGAACAAAGATTTTTCAAAGGCCGTATTTAGTTTCGAAAAGAAGGTTCAATAAATATGTTGATGGACATGTAGGGAAAGTAATAAGGAAAATATATTTCTAATACAATTAGTCTGTAATTTTTATTATCAATACTTTTAGACACCTCGTCATAGTCGGACTACTGTGAAAAACATTGTTATTTACTTACGTATTTATTGTTTGCACTTCTTGTGAATTTCAATCTGAAATATAACGAGTTTTATAACAATTTATTATCTTCGTTATTTCTTTCTTACGTCAAAAATAATTCACACATCAGTCGATTCTGCGATCGAGTTAAAAGTACATATAATGTTTTCATTACACTAGAGCATGTTTACACTCAACAAGTTACGATATATTTTTGTTATTTGCCTCCATCCGCAGACATAATGGAAAATTAACGAACACTATTAATCAGTTTGTTTATTTTTCGCTAACAATTCTCATCTAGAACATCAATAACACTGACTGAAAAGGGCAACGAACCTAGACAATCGATCTCACCTGTGCAAGTGAATGTTGCGCGGGGTTATACGTTAAACGTTAAATGTACACTTTAAAACATTTTTCTGTGATTCTTTCCACTTGTAAGACGTTATCATTAGAAAGAGAATTTAATAACACAAGAAAAACATTTCGCTCTTGACATTCGACCTGTACACAACTGACATTGACATTGAACCGCGCTACAGACGTCAAAGAAGTGTTAACCTCTTTATTTTATTCAAAACATCATATTCTCAATATAAGAACAGACGACTATTTAAAAAAATAGTTTAAAACGATTTATTCACTTCCAATACCTCAAAAAGGACTTTTTATATAATTATAGACATTTTCCTATAAGAAGCGTAATCTCTGGTTGTACTAATAATTATTGAAATAGATTTTCTTCTAGAGTAAAATTAGAATCGGGTTATAAGAAATAAAACACAATGTTAGGGAGAAACATTTTATTTGCAGTTGTAAAAACTGTACAAATCTTAACAAACTTATATATTATCACCTATTATGGACCTTTTAATGGCACTGTTGAGGACAAAAGCCAAGTTAGAATCGTCATAGATTTTATAAAAACATCGCGTTCGCTGACTTGAATCCATCAAACAATGGCTTTTGACTCCGACGCTTTGAATTTATTTCGAACAGTTACAATGTACATAATAAAAATTTTATGATGATGTAAAATTTGTTAAGTTTTCATATATCTTATTACTAAACGTGAACAGATTATATTTACAAATCCAAAGCACCATTTTTGACACATTCGAGACGTCGAATAGAAATCGTTATAACCGGTTCACGATCGAGTTAAAGATGTGTACAGAGCAAGATCATTAAATACTTTCATTTATAACTACGTTAAATGATATACTTTAACAATATTAGGGTTCAACAAATCAATATTAAATAATTATATACATTAATACTATCTGAACGGTTGGTTTAGAAATGATTTAAACGAATCGTGATATAGGTATAAGTTAATTATATATTTCATTAAAGAATTATAAATTATATAAACAGTCAAACACATCAAATGCACACCATATTTATATTAAAGAAGAAAATGCAACAATTACATATGTTTATAAAGATGATGATAAAAAATCGATAAGTGTTATAATATAGCGTTACTTTGTATAAAATATGATAATTAATCTCTAAGTATAATCCTTACAGGAAGTAAAGTATATAATCTGTTATACATCGTCCACAGATAATGTAAGGTAATAAGGTCACTTTCATTTAAAACATTACTGAGCAAAAATTTACACTACGATTATTTTTACAATAAAAATTCTCGAAAAAACATTAACAATTAAAATGTCGAAAAGTCATTGATCAGATATGTAAAATGAAAAACGTTGGATTGATTCATGTATGTACTGCGATATGAGAATATTAAAAATAAAATTCGTTGTAATACAGATAATAAATAATATATATCTAGTAACTCTCAACAACTAACGCTAATATAAACAGGGCGCAAAGTGTTGCCAGTCGAGGATAACGTTTCGAGAATGTTCTAAACATTCATATTGATATAATTATTATTCGCGACTAGAACACTTTGCGCGTCGCCCTATCGACTCGGGCTCAATGTATACAGTACCCGGACCTCGTTAATCACGTTGTCTCTTTCTTTTTCTATGTGAAAGAGAGAGACGGGTGTATTAACGGCGGTCGGAGGCCAGTATGTGGTGAGTACACTCATATCGGCCTGGTGAAGTTAGCGGGGAACATGCCCTTCTCGTTTGTGGACTCCTTGATGCCCATCAGCCAGCCCTCCTCCTGGAACGGAATAGATATCTTTATATATATAATTCTTCTGTGAGTGTGTATGTCACTGAACTTCTCTCAAACGACTCGACCGATTTCGATGAAATTTTTTATGTGCGTTCAAGCTGATCTGGGAATGGTTTAGATTCACAATTTTGTCCGCTGTACAATGTTTTTTTAATTTATTAGTAGTTGTTGATACAAACGTTTTTTTGACATTAGATTTGACAACTTAATAATATCTCAATCATTCTGTCGCACTTCAAAACACGGAGATTTATGGCTTTAATAGGTAAACAGATATTTCTTGATTATAGGGCGATACAAAGTTCGCCGGGTCTTCTATTATGTTTATATTATTATAACTAAAACAAGTTCAGTTCTTTTGTTTGTATGTATGTACGAATGTGTGTGTGTGAGTGTTTATCAATGTGTGTGCGCGCATGTCTCTGTGTGTGTCTATGTATGTAGTATGTGTCTATGTGTGTGCCGTCACGTGTTCGTCAGGGTCGTAATACTCCTCAACTCGTATGATGTACATATTATGTCTGTATAAGTGTATCTCTATATGTATATATATGTGTGTACATGTATGTGTATGTGTGCGTGTCGACTCCTATGGTCGTACTCCTCAACTCATGTATATCTGTGTGCGTGTCTCTGTATGCGTGTGTGTGTATGCGTGTGTGTATGTGTATGTGTGCGTGTCGTCACCTGTTCGTCAGGGTCGTCGTACTCCACGACCCGTATAATGTCTCCCACATCAAAGGACAGTTCGTCACTATCCTCGCGCGTGTACCTGTACGTGGCCCTCACTCTGTACAGCGCGCCCGGCGCCAGCGTCGCTCCTGTGGGGGGAAGGTCATTGGGGGCCTTCAATACAGGCTCGCTCACTGTATTCAAAACCCCCCATAATATATATATGGCTTGTATTTCGGATTGGAATTGATAGTCAAGTCTAGAAGAAGATATTGTCATCACCAGTAGTAGTTTTAAAATATAAAACTAATTTTCCCATTCAAACTACACAATATACATGCAAATAAGCTACACATCCTACCCACAAAATAGATACGTCTACTTTGTTATTTCCTTACATACTTTCCTCAGCATCTAACTCAATATGGGTGTTCACAGACATTTATAATTTATTTTAACCGCCATCTATCGAAAAGAAAAATAAATATTATCTATCAGTCGCTACTAGCGCCTCCTTCCAGTCAATGTGGCCGTAAGCAGAATTACTCGTTGTTTATTTTCTATACAAATACGTCACGTTAGATGTCAGGTTATAAATATTTATAAGTGTGTAAAAAATGGAAAATACTGCTTACAATCCCATTCGTTCAAAAAATTATCAAAAAACTATCGCTAGTTACAACTAGACAGATACATCTAAAAGACCTATTTATTTTGATTGGCTTTACGTCTAAACAATTGCACCATTTGGGTTTTATCACTTTTCTTAGATCAAGAAAATAAACTATATTTATCAATAAGCGTTTTCACTAACAAATAATGGAAAAAATATTAGCTTAAAAAATATCTTTTTTCTCCTGCTCTTGTCCCAATTACTTAGGGTAGGTAATATATTTGAAACTCCCATACATCTATCACTCATCATATTAGACAGACATTTTTTACTATATCCTTTTTATGACCTAACTTGAGTTTTCTTCACAAATCGATCCATCAATATCATATTTATTTTTATCTCTCTTTCTTTTAACATGCTCCATACTAATACAATTTGTCCAGTGACACTGACATACTAATTCTTTTCCCGGGTTCTGTCTATCCCCTCACTCATACCTCTCATTATTTCCCCAAAACTAAGCTTACAACAAACAATATTATATAATTGGTTTATATACAATATTTATTTAAGAGGATTCCTATGATTTTTTGTCTAACAATAAGTCCCCTTTATTTCATACTATTCCAAATGTTGAATTAAATTTGATCTGCTTTTTCCACCCAAAAAACTTTGCTTGTTTCTGGATCAGACAGTACTACTTTTGGACTAGACTTTACAATATCGAAATTTTAAATATTATCATACATAACTTCAATAATCAATCAAATACATAATTCAAATGATTCCAAGTGATTAATCAAACCAACGTTAAACATTCATAAGCTAAGCGGCATCAGTATTAGTATAGACAAGCCATTCCATACATATATACATTCGACCGCCTGCCTGGGAACAGATATATAATACATACACATATATAATATACATCATACATAAGAGGCTTCATATATAACATATTAAATAGCCATATGTGCTGCACTCATGAGTCATGTTAGTCCAAATCATTAAAACATTAAATTAATTATTTTCCAATATATACATGTATCTAAGGCAACACATATCACCATTCATATAAAGGAATATAATCCAACTAAATCAACTCTAAGCTCATAGTAATAAGGTCTATTACTGTACACTATATTCCTTTAGCTTGTATATAATGTATCGTGAATCCAACTCACCGACAGGTATATCGTACACCTCGTCCGTCTTAACTATATCCGTCTCTTTCTTCTCCGTAATCTTTTCTTCGTGTTTCTCTATCTGTCTCTTTCCCTCGTCGTTATTATTGACGCTCTCGTTCTCGGCCCCTGAGAGAATGTTATTCTATTGGTGCCTACTGTCTACGTCACACTCGGCTACTCACACATCATATGGGGAGTCGGGTCATTATATATGTATATAAGTTACTCTAGATACATTATGTACTATAGATACAACATCTAAGTTACTGTCATAGCTCAAGCCCACAGGTATCAGCTGTACTCACCGACGGGTATGTCGTATAGTTCCTCGACCTTCTTGTCCTCGTTCGCGTTAACGGAGTTAACAGAGTTAACAGAGTTAACGGGGTTAACGGAATTGACCGAGTTGACTGCTTTGGCCGGCGAGTCCGGGGGCGACGAGTGCTCGCGGCGGGCGGGCGCGTCCGGCGTGGGGGTGTTGGAGGTCTTTGGGGTGCTGGGGGTGTTGGAGGTCTTGGGGGTGTTGGGGGTTTCGGGGGAGTCGGGTGGCGAGTCTCCGTTCAACGCTGGGGAGGGCGCTACACACACATGCTTGTTAGAGTCGCATTTACGAATACGAAAAGTATTTTAAGGCAAACGTTTTATTAATAATGAAAGATCAGTCCGTCGTATCAGATTCTATATCGATGTATATTTCATATTAGTTAGATGACATCAAACAAACAAAACAACTAAAACGAACTCGACGTTAGTGTTAGGTTATAAGAGAATACGACAAAAAGTAGAGGTTTTATTCGGGGGTATAGACTGGTGGGAGGAGTGATCGACGTGACGTTCACGGTAGGTATGAAACCTGATATTTTTTTTTTCGAGTTGACATATGCTGTTAGCCCTAGTGGCTTTGACAGCGTCACCGAGAGGGAAACCTGATAGCTAACCAACGTCTTTATATACTCCTCCCCCCACTCCACGCCCCTTCCTTCTCTATACTCACTCTGTACTACGTGTGCTCCGTTAGCCGCGGGTCGGCTCCTATACGATCCTCTCTGACTATCAGTCGCCAATTTATCCGTGATGGCCTCCAACTCAGCGAACACCTGAAGATATTATTACATCACGCTGTTAGTCTGTTTTGCTATTATTTTTGCAAGGAGCAAATGAGAAAAGAGAATGATTTATACATATTTAAATTAAATATACATATATGCATCTTTATAGCTTAGGAATTAGTTTACAGTGATCTGTATAATTTCGCACACATTTCTGATTGAATTTTTATATAAGAATACCACGAAATTGTACCATTATGAACATATCGGTACGATACAAAAAAATTCTATATCCAAAAAATTCTCGAACTCTTTTCTAATAGACCGATATTAAGAATTGGTTGTTGCGTTGGACTCCCTGCATTAATTTTACTAGCATATTTAAAACTCAAAAAGAAAACTACAGATATATAGGTCTATGTGTAGAAATTTGAGTTGTAGTGGTGTTTTCACAAATGAAACATTTTCGTCTAATAAGGCGTTTGATTGATGTATAATGTGATGTGTTATTAGTTAGTAGTGGCCTAGTGGTTAACGGGCCCGCCTCTCACTGCCGAGGTCGCGGGTTCAAACCTGGAGTCATATGTACTTTCTAAGAGTATTTAGACACCACTGACTAATGAGAAGAGGCAGCTCAGCAGTGGGCTCTGATAGGCAGATGATGACGTGTTGAATTCAGTGTAATATAGTAATGTTCTGTTAGATGTTTCGTACCTTGGATGACTCAGAGTGGAACAGTTGTTCAGCGCTGAACAGCGTCTGTAGGTTGTGTACGTAGAACAGCACCCGTGAGTCGTGCAGCGCGGGCAGCTCGTCGTGCAGCTCGGAGTTCAACACTTCGTACGTGCGCTTGGCTTCTTCGAGCTGTTCACGACCGCGAGTGATCTGGATGTATAGGACTATTAAAGGACCTATACTTTGTTGGAAAATTCGTGACTGATTGGAAGTTCATGTGTTTTATTATTTATTTATTTATTTTTTGCTACACACATACGTTACATATATTATACAGTTATACAGAAGAAGAAAAAATTAAATTTGTAGCAGTATAAGCCGTGCTAATGCACAGCAATGATTTTTAGATGGCCCCTGAATAGATTGCATTAGAAAAAGTCCTTACATCAATTGAATCCTACTAATATTATAATTGCGAAAGGTTGTGAGTGTGTGTGAATGTTTGTTACTTCTTCACGCTCAAACGACTGAACCGATTTTGATAAAATTTTGTATAAAGGAAGCTGACGTGCAGGAATAACACAGGGGCTACGTTACATCGAGGTAATCCGCGGGCAACACCGCGGGGCGCAGCTAGTAACATAATATAAAGGAGCTTTTAATTATTTTCTTTGAATTGTTAATAAAATTTGAGGTTTCTGCAGATTCATTAGAAGTTCTTGGTTCATATACATATATCTTTTTTAATAGATTGCATTAAAAAAAGAACTTGCATTCATTGTCTGACATAAAATATATTCATATATAAGTCACTGGTTATTGGGTAGAAAGAAGTTTAACTGTACGTACTGGTTGGCTATTCAACTTTCCTATTTCTTTGCATGCGAAAAAATCGATAAAACGAATGATGATACCTAAAAACGAACTACAAGAAGAGTTAAAGTTATCTTAAAAACATAAAGAAAAAAAATATACAACGCATATAGATATTAAAGTCGATAATATTATTTTAAAAAACAAAACATTGACTATTAATAAATATCTTTGTGATAAGATAAAATTATTTGTGAAAGTTGATATATAGAAATAATTATCTCAGGAAAAATGACTTTCAATACAAAGGTTCCATAAAAATTCTTCAGTTATTATGAAAATAAATTTCTGACCACAGTAGGGCGTCACTCACAATAGTCTATTGTTCAAGACATAGAAGTACGTAGAAGCAATGATTGTTACAACCTAACATTGAAAATATACTGAACATATTAATGTATCTTTATTACGGTTAGAGAAAAATATTTATTTTTTTATTACGTACTTTGACGTCATCGCGTCTTTTGGCGGCATTCGCTTGAAGATTTTGGAAACTGTGTCTCTGACTGTCGTAGTCTACCAGCTTCCGGCCACGTTTCTCGATCTTTTTCTGGAATGATCACGAATGAATATTTATTATATACTAGAAGACCTGGCGAACTTCGTATCGCCCTATAATCAAGAAATATCTATTACGTTTTTTTATTTATATTTTTGGAGTTTACCTGTGAGCCATAAATCTCCGTGTTTTGAAGTGCGACAGAATGATTGACATATTAGTTAGTTGTCAAATCTAATGTCAATAAAAACGTTTGTATGGGAAATAGAAAAGGGCAGTTTTTATGATTTTCCCAGTAATGAATCAATTTTTTTCAGCTTTTATACCTTCCCTGAACCTCCACGAACATTTCAAGACTAAGATAAGATAAATCCGTACAGCTGTTCTCGAGTTTTAGCGAGACTAAGGAACAGCAATCCATTTTTATATATATAGAAGATAAATAAAATTTCCAATGACGTAAAAAAATTAGGGCAGTTTCACAAGCACTGGATCAATAAGGTCTCCTTACCCTAACTTCAGGGAACTGGTTGGTGTAAGTGTTGAGCGGTATGAGGACTTGATCGCCCAGTTTGTGTGAGAAGTCCTGCCACAGCATCTCCATGTTCTGTGCCTGTACGTACAACAGGTCGTGACCCGACCAGCTGCTCTCGTAAACCTCCGTGATCGCCTCCATCAAAGACTTTGACGCTGTTTGAACGGCTGAAGGAAAGATGGGCTTATACTAAGAATCTTCTCAGTTTATACCAAAAAGAATATCTATATAATTAAAGAGAGACAGAACTATTCAGAAGATTATTAGAGATGATTATAAAGTTATTACGTATATTTAATACAAATTGAATGTTGTATTGGTATACACTATACAGGGTGTGTCATGTGTAGTGACAGATGTTATCAATGTAAGCCGATCAGTATGTAATATGGTATGGGTGTATTGTTTATGTTTGAACACGAACCTCGTATGCATCGTATGTAATTATTGAATTCCTTCTGCAGCCTCGTCGCCTGTTGATGTTGACGGTTGAAGTTCTGGAGATGCTCTTCGAAGATGTCGTCGAGGGTCCGATCTACTTTACCCAAATTTTGGAGGAGCTAGAACGAAAAAAATATATATTATAATATTATTTAATAGAAAAAAAATGTACATTTAAAATAGTAGATTTTGTTTATACAACAATGTTATAAAGACGCGTCATAAAATAAAAGTAACTTAGATACTCCTTGTGAAAAACGTCTCTGATTTTTCTATAATCTTTTATCCTCTAATCTAATAAATTACCTTTGTTAACAACAACATAAAAAATATAATCTTTTTATTTATATTTATAGTTCATTATCACGAGTCACAATATTGTTGAATAGAATTATTGCTTTAATGATATAATTATAACTAGGAATTACGAAATCTGAGTCGTTGAAATCTGAGACAGTTGTCGCCTGCGGGCAGAACGCTTTGTGTAATGCAAATATGTTATACATATCTTCATTTGCATTAGATAGAAACAAGTCCATATATAGTATTGACATTATATCTAGCGGCCCTGCCCACTGATTCCTTCGTATTTTGTAATCTAGGTTACGAACAAATACATTTAATGTAATAAAAATTCGTAAGGCAAGTTGTATCTATAGCAATTTTTCACTAATTTGGTAACAACGTCCTTAGAATAAGGAGAATGCCTCTAAATCAAGCAACAATAGTATTAATGACGTCACATTATTCGATTCGTTAATATTCATATAACATACAACTCATATCGGTTTGAACTAAACAAAACATCCTCAAAGGGTAATGACATTGGCTTAGGTTACTTGATTATGAGCTCCAAAGATATTGAATTTTATATCATCGGAAAACAATAGTGATCATCATTATCAAGGTCGTTTAGTCGTCCTCAAATACAGTAAGTTTCTTTGTATGCCTTCTAGTTAATAACGACAAACTGTATCCTTACCTATCCCTACTAATATTATAAATGCGAAAGTAACTCTGTCTGTCTGTCTGTTACGCTTTCACGCCTAAACCACTGAACTGATTTTAAAGAAATTTGGTACAGAGATGGCGTTGACCTTGAGAAAGAACAGGATAGTTTTTATCCCAGATTTTTGAAAAGTTCTCTTGTAAACGCGATATAACCGAACTCCACGTGGGCGAAGCTGCGGACGGAAAGCTAGTTTACGATAATTAACGAATATTTATTGAGTGAAGAACTTGTGGTAATATGTACGGGTTTGAGAGAAATCTTTTATAATATTACTATGTAAGATTTGTTTATTAAAAAATAGTCTATATTTTATTTAGGCTTATTTTTATCAATTGATCTCCGTAATGCACAATTGCTTTTATGTTTTATTCCATCGAAGACAACTGTGAGAATATTTCACCACGTCAGTAGAACAATAATATATCCAAGTGAATGTAAATTAGTTTGGTTTGTGGTAATTGCAATGAATTTTGATTGCTCGTATTCTTTGGAACAACTTCCCTCATTAAAACAACCTTGAAGTCATCTCGACTTTAGGCTGTAATGCTACCGTCGAGATCAAAAGAGAAACAGAAGTAATATTTGAACGAATTTAAGGAAAAACAAATGAACCAGCTAAACTTCATACTTTTTATCAAACATATATGAAGACATGAATACAGATTTTTATTCTGAAACCGTACACTATTATAAACATATAGGTGACGAGAATTTTCTTGGAAGTGTATTAAATGTATTATGTAACACTATATATATATAATTATTGTAAGGTACATGTATTGTAAACAGAATGTCTCATATGTAAGCTCATGATCCGATAAATACATGAGTCTAGTGGCGCTGTGTCAACGACCAGATATTCACTTCTGTAACTTAGCCAACACGTGCTATACAACTATTAATACACACATACACACACACACACACAAACGTATATATTACATATATAATTGCCAACCAACGAGTGCAACTTCGTAAGAATCGAAAACAGATTCTAAACTAAAAATACCGAAACAAAAGACGAGCGTACGAAAAACAACTAAAATCACATGAATAATTAATGATTTTCTATTAAAATTATTAAATATTTTCTGTTTATATATACAGTTATATGATTATCGGCGAGGTTCTCATCTATGACGTCAGATCCGCCGTAGCTTCCTTTCGTTTTCATTAGTCTTTGACCGAGGCCTCGTGTAGCTATTGTTTAAGTGGTGACGTCCGAACTATTAAACACAGTTATATTTTTTCCCGTGACTTTACTTTCCACTTTAAACACCTCTACTATAATTTAAGAACATTTTATTATATATTATTTTGAAGTGCCTAACAAACGGACTAATATCACTTTATAAGTATAGACTTTACATCAATATAATGAAATCAAATTATAAATAATTTCTAATTAATAAATATAAGAGTTAAATTGATGCGTCCTCTATTAATGATACGCTTGATTTAAAATTAAGCCGGAAACTTGCGAAATATATAAGGAAATATATTATTATCGTAGGAACAGGATATTCGGTAGAAAACAGAATTCGTATATAGAAACAAAAATGTTATACAATTATTATATAGCATGTATAATTAATTTAAGCTGTTTGCAGATTTCCTAAAAACATCGCGGGACGAAACCTCTCATCGTTCCATGTATTCACGGTGCGTGTGTCGGGTCCATCGTTGTAGTGAGAGGAGCTTCAACAGTGACTGGGACTTGCGACCCAGGTGTAGGTATAAGAGTTATCTTAAATGAATCTTTTACTATTACAGTGAAACTGGCACTAATCATATTATCGCGGTCATTTTACAGACATTCATAAATCTCACCAATTTGTCACAACACATTCACACACTTTAATTTTCTTTATATTGTATATAATGACTATATAAACATAATTGTTTAATAATCATTTTGTAGAAATTATATAAAATTTCACTCTCTCTAAAGCCTACATATAAACATTAGTATTAACGCTATTTTTCCGAGGTATTTATCAATTAAATTAATTACAACATAATTGACACATTTATAGTTTTAGTGTGCAATATAATAAATATATAATTTGTCTGATATTTAGAAATTCAGAAGAACCATGTAAATCTTCATTCACTTAAGAAAACCGGACACAGTTTTCCATTTACTAGAAAATCAACTTAGAGATATGACTGTTATAAATTGTCACGACACTTTTAACTATTTAGTAATGGTCGATCAACTAATTAAATATTTGTAGTAGTAGTAGTATATAGACTTAAATGATGTTGATATTTTCTTACAATTCAATTTTTTTATTATAATAAAATTTGGTTAGGTAAAGAGAGGAGCTTGAACAGTGGAGTTGAGCGTTTAACGCGCGTTAGATAGGGGCGCCTTAAACCTACACCTGGGTCGCAAGTCCCAGGCACTGTTGAAGCTCCTCTCCCTGCAACGATGGACCCGGCATATGCACCGTGAATACATGGAATTATGAGAGGTTTCGTCTCGTCTCTTTGAGTTTCTTACATATAAACCTTATCAAGATGAGAGTCTAACTATCAGCACGTATATATTAGTAACTAATTGTTTAAACGCCACACCTAACTTTGTAACGTGATTAAAGTTGTTTGACGATAAGTATGTTCTAAGTTGTCATTTTAAATAAGATTAACAGCTGGGGGTAATCATTAATTATATATATTAAGACACAAGATATACAAGGCTTCACACACTTGCAATTTTGGTTTCAGAAGGCAATATACAGATGTACTGTTTAGTGCATGAATGAGAACAAAAGTGACCTTCTATTTAATTATATCAATACACGTAATAGATTTATATATAAAATCTGTCTTTTTGTGGGTCGATAATGATTTCAGATTGCCTGAATTTGAATGGGTTTTTCACTGAGTCCTAGAGATAAATTATTCTGAAACACAGCTGGTATGAAAGATGGAAATAATAAAAGTATCGCCAGGAAACAATTAAAATTCAATAAAAATTTATATTACATCTATGATATTCTATACTTATAAAAAATATACGTAGCAAATCTTCAGAAGCTGATAAAATTTTTTGATATGTTATTTACGATAATATGTAACAACTTCTTATTGTACTGTCAGTAACGAAAAATTTATACTTTTAAAAGAAACGAGATTTGAATCATGTTTTGGCGACGTAACTACTAATATTACATCGTGTAGAACCTATGTAGATAACAGAACTAACTTAATAAAGGCACTACGATTGATGGACGTTGGGGTTCAATTGATTGTAAAAATGTATGATATATATTAAACTAGCTTTAGCTTCGCCTGCGTGGAGTTCGGTTATATCGCGTTTCAAGAGAACTTTTCAAAAGTCTGGGATAAAAACTATCCTATGTTCTTTCTCAAGGTCAACTTTATCTCTGTACCAAATTTCATTAAAATGAGTTCAGTGGTTTAGGCGTGAAAGCGTAACAGACAGACAGACAGAGTTACTTTCGCATTTATAATATTAGTAGGGATAACACATTATATAGAAAATAAGGATTATTTTTCCACTTTCTTACAGTTCATTGGTAATCCGACAAAAATTTCGCAACGCTCATCAAAGTGTTAATTGATAATAAGTGAAGCGTTTAGTGTGTAGCTATTAATGTACAAGTTGGAAGGACCGGTTGCATTATTTTCAGTTACACAAACATCACGCAGCCTGTGAATGTGCAGTCATACGTGACCAATGTACAGTCTTATTTCATAACAATGATATTTCTGTTAGGATATAGCGACGCTAACCGCATACGACGCAATGACAGACGATACGCTGAGTACGGTCACTATCGATAAAATAGACCAGCCTAAATATATTGGTAATTTAAAATAAAAATCATTTACAAAATAAGAAAGTCAGTGGAAGTGTACAAGAGTGCAAAGAGTTTATTCATGTAAACCTCATTTCTAGTGAATACTGTGCATGTAACACATAACACATTCTGTGCGGAGCTCGTTCCACACAACAGAACCCATTGTGGAGCTGACAATACACACATCCATCAGTCTCAATGATAGCCAGTCCAGTCCTTATGTATTCAAATCTATTTAAACGCTAGCTTCATCTGTATTTCATGATCGGCTCACGTGATATTTTTCTATTCACGATCTTCTATTGAAAATCGTCCCATATAGAATATTTTCGTAATTTTTCTTCTAGACCTATATATTACAAAAAATCCAGTGAGAAATAGCGGAGGAATATTCGCCAAGGTCAAGTAGCGTTATGCAAAAACTAATATAATCCAATAATATTAACAGATCTAAAACTATAGGCGCGTTTCGTGAGTCGTTCACTGTACTGGCAGCTGTCCAAGTCGAACAAAACTTTGATTTGATTCTATTCCCGTGTTGTCAAGCGATTGGTTATACATTAAACGTAAATTATTAGATGCTCTGTATATTTGTATAGTATAGTAATGCTCAATTGGCATTGTTAACAAATACCTACTGGCATTACGCCATTTTTTATTTTATTAATATGTACAATAATATTAAATAACTTCTATCAGATATATTCTATAGTTTTGAGAAATGATGAATTAAATTATAAATAAACGATTCAAGATGTGTTACAGAGAGATGAAGTCGGTATAATCTGAAGGTTGACGTCATCAACATAAAAATATTGTATGTTTTATTTGAATAATATTATAATTTATTACCATTTCCATTACGTCATCATCAGACTACAAAACTTTAAACTTTATTTACATAAATATTTTTCTCGTACTAAATATTTAACTACATCCTATGTCAGTATTTCCTTAATTATATGACGCTATGAATTCAAAATTGAAATTGAAACTTTCCAGGCATCATGAACATATAAATGATTAATAAAATATTAATAAAAAGATAGCAATTTTCGAGCTAAGTCTCGTTCCACATGAGAAAGGTTGCAAAGAAAATTTAATACATTAAATTAACTATAGACGACCTTGTGTTACAACTAATTATGTTTAACCGGTATTGTGTTCTGTAAACAGATAGCAGTTATGAAGGTAAATATTACGTGAACGGAGCAAACGTGACGTGTACGAGTGTAACATGATAACAATGCAGGAGTTTTTATTAATAACACAATAGACCTGTTTGAATGGATCGGCGTTGGACCTACTACTAGAAGTATATAACTGAAATTTGATGGCTGAAGAATAATTTGTTACTTATTTCGCGATTTCTATCGCTTTATGTGTATAATGTTACAACTGAACTTTTAAGTTTGTTTAGCTCAATTAATTTTGATTAAACTGGAGTCTGCTTAGAGCGATACATTTTTCTTCATCTACATGGCAATTGCCCAGCTTCAGCCAGGGTCTGTCTTATATGTTTTGAATAGTTTTGGATACTTGTTTTTACGACCGGCCGCCTGCCTGACATCAACCCTCTTTGGGAATAAGCGATACTTTAGAGCGACACATTTTACACTCGTATAATGTCATCTACATTCAATATCGTTAACAATTAAAATAGCATTAGTTACTTTTTCTGCTTCAATAATAAAGTTGAGAAATGTATGACTGGACAACAAATGAAAACCTAATTGGAAAAAAATGGTTAAAAAGATCTTATACACTTATAAATGTTTTCTGTTCAATAAGATTTCCATTGGTTCTTGAGACGTCGCTTCGATAGACACAAAAGAAATATCCATTTTCATTCAGTCCGTTAGCTCAGCGGGAAGCGATCTTATCGAGACCAAAAAAATAAATAAAAATAGATTTTTTCTCTAGTCTATTTACCGAAAATAGGATGGGAAAAAATCTTTTGTGATATTCATTAAGCTTGAGTAATGGAAATTGGAAACTACCGAGCTTCAAATTTCTTTTCTTACACTCCGAAACGACCATTTTATTAAACATAAAAGATACAGCATTTGGAAAATCACTGAAAATTATTATTTTTTTTCATTACTGTACTGTAACTATATTGAATAAGCTGTGTCTTTCATAGTCCAATTGCGAATAATAACTCGCATGGGTTTTCACTTATTAAAAGAATATTTGGTTGCTCGTATAAATTTTCTGTGCATACATCAGCATAAAGTCCATACCAATGTCGCAAAAGACATAAAAACAAACTTGTTTCATAAAGACACCTGCAATTCTTGGATCATCTTGGGTCTTCATGATTACGTTGATGATAAAACACGAAAAATTTCTTCAAATATTAACAGCTCTAAATGCCTCATTATCGAAATATATGAAAATCGTCTAAGAATTTAACATTTAGGTCGACACGAGAAACTATTGAGACGTCACACGCAAACTAAGAATATCACCATGACCCATTTAGTTTTAACTGTAATAAATATTTGAATGTTCTACAAGATAAGAGTGGAAATACAACAAAATATACATAAATGATGATGTACGGACTATTGTGGAGACAATTAGCTGTTTAGTTTGTGAATGACAATAATAGATTAAGTATGTAATTATTCAATAACTACATTACTCGAGGTCAAAGCAAAGTCGTGGGATATATCTATCAGAAGCAATTTTGATATATAAAACCTATTGAGGGCATTGACCCTGACGTATTCAATGTAGCTGACACCATATAGATATTTAAACCCTCGAGTTTCCACCGTAGGTCGCTGCACCCTTACAAATGCGATTTACCTGCACTTAATAGTTACGATACATACGCTACAGTAAATAGTGTAGTATGAAAAAGAAAATTACTTTGTTTATAGCTAGAAGTTCTTCTTGTTACTAAGCCTTGGCGCAAATACTATATTATCTTATACATATTTTTTTTTGGACATGAATTTGTCGACATTATACAAACATAATAAATTTTAATTTGAAGATGATTTTCCATGTAACAAGCATATGAGCTAGAGTGCTGCTACTTATACAACATAAATTAGACTTTCGAGGTTCTTGTTCAAATATGCATTGTGAATTTAAGGTGTAAATTCAGGCTCTATTGAAATCTGCGACAAAGATATCTTTTTACATATAATTTATAACATAATTTGTGTTCAATTTAGTAAACAAAATATCTTTGTTGAGTTTCTTAATGATATAAATGATAAATAAGTTGAATCTTCTCTGATTCAATTATTTTAAACATACCATCTGGTGGTATTTGCCAGTAAATTTGATAATGGAAAAATATACCTACCAGTGCGAACGATAGGGTTATATTATTATTCAGGTGCATGTATATACATTTACTTGGCAACACCTAATGCCTAATCGGCTAGACTTATTTTTATATGAGTGGTGTCAATAAATTCATCATCATTGTCATTAAAATAAAAATAAATAACGCTGAGGTTTTTTACTTTCAATAACTAGTAATTTACCAAAAAATATGTTTTTGTAATACATCGCTGGTGGAATTCAAATAAAGATTTTTAACGGTCACTATAACGTTATCCATATACATATAATACGATGTTTATATATATAATCACTTCACACATATAACATTAACGCAAAGCTTTTTTAAAGATGGCATATATAGACACAGTCTGCTTTTGTTCTTTCAATATACGGTATTCGTATGTAAATTATTATAAAATTTTGTAAGATTATATGCAACACATCGCGTTGGTTTCTCCACTGATCTACTACATCAGTGATGCAACATTGCTTCATCATTTGCTCATATCTTTAATCGATAACAATTACACGCAACCCATGCAACAGAAGCAATTCATTTTACCGATATTACTCTCCAAAATCAGCGGAACACTTTAAAAATTTAACATTCACGAGATTTGGTAAACTATTATGAATGACGAAAGAAAGTTGGACACGCAATAAATAGAATTAGCTGTTACAATATATTTATCAAACAAAAAGTAAAATAATTTTAACTATGCAACTGTTAGTGAAAGTGTTGAAGTCTGTACGTTAAACCGTTAGTTTTGTTTTTTAGAAAACATCGCGTCAGTCATTGTTTGACCTTAAACTTGACTCAAGATTTACATATAAGTACATATGTATAATGAATTTTGATGTGACCGAGTCTGTTAGTGTTATTCTAGGTCAGAGAAGATTCTCCGTACGTACATTGTTTCCTAAATAAACGAAGAATCATAGCCATCGTTTAAAATAAGACAATTACATGTATCGAATATGAAATAACAAGAAAACTAAAAATAAAATATTAGCATTGCAACACATGTTTCTGATATACAGAAAAAATCTTTGAATATTCAAAACGAGATATTTAATACTAATAACAAACAAGATAACAGACAGACAAAATAATTAATTGAATAAGATAAAACAACAATGCGACTTTATTTTGAAGGTCGAATTTATATGAAAAAGAACGTGAGAAATGTACCGAGATCGGCGAAAATAGAAAGCATACGGAAGACGAGATGTGTGTCGCACGAGCAGGTTGATGGGAGGTGGGGGAAAAGGGGGGAGAGGGGAAAAGAGGAGGAGTAGCCGGAAACATACTAGAGAGGAAAGGAAAGGGACGGGCTATGGGCATACCCAGTCCGGAAACCTGTATAGGCGACGATTTCTTAGAAATAGAGAGACGTACCCTCAATGAGAAACTAGTTATTGATACCGATACACTAGTATGGAATAGTTTTTATAACCGGGCCTTTACTTTTACGAGCGGGCTTGGAGAGTTATACTCAAAAGAAATATTCGAAGATATTTGATTACTTTAATTATATGTATTCATTCATAACGGGCGTTGGTTCAGCACGTTCATCAGTGACATTTCCACTGAATCGAGGCTCATGTTGTCTGAGATGCCTTAACTCCACGGTACGTTCACTCGCCGCATTCCTCAAACTAAATCTGTTACGAAACACTTGACACTGCTATTGTTATAATCTTTACTAGAAAATATCAAAAATCTCATTAGTGATAAGCCGAATCTAAATATAATTTCATATATATTGAGAAGTATAAGTATACTTGTTGACCTCAATTCATTTTTATTCAGAAACTCGTGATTCAACTAACTTAATAATAATGTTTTTGTGTGTGGAGATTTTATAGGAGAATGAAATTATTAGTTATTTCATGTGATTTAGAAGATTATTGATATAAAGAGAGGATTAAATAACTGTAGTATTGATAACCCAAATATTCATTCGGCATTGCGACCTTGTTTTCATTTTCGTTCAAGCAGTGCTGGTCGTTTCGCTCATTGGAAGACGTTTAGTGACATAATGACTATTAAAAATATTTTATATTATTTTCGGAACATTCAACTATTACTGATAGGTATACTATTCTTTATAACAACAGCTTAAAAACAATGATAATTGAAGATGAAATAACGTCCATAAAACCTATTTAATGACATTTTTTTGCTGAACTCTTGATGTAATGAAGAACTCAATTAAGTTTTACAATAGAGATGATGATCAATGCCATCGAAATAAATATTGAAACTGTAGTGGAATTGAAATAAGTTTAATATTACAAAAAAATTACGAAAATGTGATGATGACATTGAAATGTGTGGATTTAAAGTAAAAATATGTTTAGTGAAAGACATTATGTAACAGTCTCGTGATAATATTATGACGTTACAATCATACACTTTGAATAATTATACGAACGTGTAGGTTATAGAAGCAGGAAAGGACTTAGTTTTGATAAAAAACGTCGAATATAAATTGAATATAAAAAGTAATGGAATTCATCTAGAAATGTGCCAGATTCCATAAACTCAATCAGGTAGAATGCATTTCAAAACGCAACACAAACACACACACACACACACAGCTGACGAAACTCGTTTGGTTAGATCGAATTACCGTTGTATTTGACTTTGGAAATAACGATAGACCTGTTGGGAAGTATTTTCGAGACATCCGAAAATATTTGTACGTATGTATGTACACCACGTCAATACAAAGCCAGAACGAATTAACATAAATAAAATAATAAATTTAATACGCTGACGTTCCTGACATAACTAAATACAGCCACGAATTAAACGTGCCACGAATCATCAGTAATACATCATGTGGTCGTCGATGTGTGCGTGTGTATGTGTGCGTGTGTATGTAGCTATATATACAGGGTGTGTGTATTTCGTATCATATATAAAGTCGCGATCCTAATCTGTCTCGACATCGGATACAGTGTCCAGCTTCCCAGACGGGAATAGTCACATCCCTGGCCTGGCTGCCGTCCATATTGTAAAACGTTACCAAACGACATAACTACATTAATTCTTCCGACGATTCTCAATCTTATTCGGTCGTATTTAGGTCGACATTGCGACTCGTTTTCAAACTGAATGTATAGCTAAGATTGTATGTGAGCGGCGTCTGTGGCGACCCTTCCGTAATTCTATTTAACTATGAACATAATACGTCATAAAACTTCCGGATTTTGATAAATAAAATCATAAATCGATATCAAATTAAAGCTTAAACACACCTATCACAAAAGTCATCCAATTAGCCGTGGATACTGTCGGATTACTTTCACTTTTATTTTCACAGTACCATTAATTTAAACGCTCATATAAAGCACAATTCGACTTCATTAGCTTTTTCTTCAAAATTTACAACAATATTTGTTTCTTAATCATTTTAATGCTGCTAATCGGATCCTCTACTTACGTATTTATCAACTGAAAAGTCTTATTTAAGTATTGTTAATAAATCACGTTTCTTTACGTATCTTTTAAGGTAAATATAACATTTATTATTTGCTTTAGTATTGAATTCATCTTAAACATGCGTCATACACGAGTTACATCTACGCGTTTCTTTTGTAAAATCTATTTGCACCCAAGTTTTATTAGGTTTAATTTCTATAGAATTACTATGAAAATTAAAAATTATATCAAAATCTATATCTACATATATATATGGCTGTTATAAGTATTCGCGTGGGTCCGGCCATTGACCCTAGGTCTGACAAATCTTGATGCTTTTGGATCTTTTCCAAACATAGAGGTTGTTCGATACCGGTTTGTAATGAAGAGGCCTCAATAGAACCTGCAGTTAAATATTAACATTTCAAACAAATATTTATACGAGACTTTTTCAATAGTACTGATAACGTACAAATGTTTTTGAATTTCTTATCACGAGATATAGATAAAATATTTCTTTTGTCCATTTTAAATAGACCTATCCATTCGTTCCCGAATACATTTTAGTATAAAACTGTAGTTTAATTTAACTTTAATAATAGTACCTACATATAATTTTACCGATGGTAATGTAAATGACGGTACAAAATCAGGAGTACAGCCCGATAGTGTTATCAGTTAAAAGGAATTTGACCCGATTGATTTACAGACGTCCTACTGACTCATCGTTATTATATAAAATACTAATGTTATTACTATGAAAACTACGGAGACGATTTTGATGAAACTTTCGAGTAATTCAATTTGGAAATCAGAATCTCGTATCACATATATATAATTTATCGAGATATTTTTAATAGTTGTGTGTTATTTTAAGACACGTGACCCATACTATACCCCTTACTAGCGAATTGTGAAGACATCAATTTACTTTACACTTTAGATAAATTTCTCTTTAATATATCTATGTATCTTCTACCTGGCTATTTCCCAGCTTTAGCCAGGGTCTGCCTTACATGTTGTGAATAGTTTTGGCTAATTGTTTTTACGACCGGCCGCCTGCCTGACATCCACCCTCTTTGGGAATGCATTAATCAGTGATGTCTAAATACTCTTAGAAAGTACATATGACTCGGAAAAATCACATTCTCTTTAATCTATATATAACAATAAACGTCGTGGGAGTAATGATATTTGTATATAATGAATCTCATATTTATTCGTAATTTCTTGTTTGTATATTGATATGTTATTTGTTATAATAATAACAGCCATCTGTTGCATGTTAGTTTAATTCGTCCCGTGTGTTTTTCTATTTACATATCGGCTCGTCTGGACGTGGTGAGATGGTGTTTTGATGAGGTAACGTTGACCCACATGTATATTACATAACACTATAAATATACTGAAATAACCCTAAGAAATGTTGCTTTATACGAAAAATTAATGATAGGAAAAGAATTCGTTTGGTTTAATGATATATTACAATAAGAGAAAGTAATTATCGAACGGGTACAATAATTAATATTCAGGAATTTTCATTAACTTGTTTTTCGATATTAAACTCTGTTACATAACAGGTTGATCCAATAATTGCTTGCAGTCAAGATTGTGGCGCGACCTTGTACGGAGAGCGGAATAGGTAATTTCACCGCAACGATATGTTCTATGACGTTGAAACGAATGTGTGATCGCAACTTGCTGGGTATAGTGTACCGGAGATCCATCATTGAGATGTCACGCTCATCTTATCTGATAAATAGTTACAAGGTTAAGATCCACGGATGTAAAGTGAGAAATCAAACAAACTTTAAATATATATAGATATTAAAGATACGTTCAACCTTAGAAACTATATACAAAAAATACTCCATATATTTAAATCGTTTTACATTCTTTACTAGCTTTCCGCCTGCAGCTTCGCCCGAGTGCAGTTCGGTTATATCGCGTTTCCAAGAGAACCTTTCAAAAGTCTGGAATAAAAATTATCCTATGTTCTTTTTCAAAGTCAACATCATCTCTGTACGAAAATTCATTAAAATTGGTTCAGTGGTTTAGGTTCGAAAGCGTAACAGACAGACAGATAGACAGAGTTACTTTCGCATTTATAATACATATTATTAATTATAAGTATGTATAGGCCCTTAATTTCACACGTATGTAGAGGTATTCAGAGCGCTATGTAATCAGTTCTCGGTGGTTCAACAGGTGTAGGTAGGGGCCAGACGAGAAAGTACTAGCGTTTGAGATGAAAGTGCGTAAACCAACATCAAGACCCACTTGGGAACCAGACGATGTTTATTACCGCGTATATCAAATTTGTTAGCGAGATTTATACTGGACACTTTCATAATAAAACAGGTAGGTATATTTTATGTAAATGGAAAAAAAATGTTTACTTTGACTTACACTGTTTAAAACATTTGATCAGAATTACGTAATTGATTGATGTTAAAGAAATCATTTTATAGTAAAACTAGCTGGTGATAGTGGGTTTGCTCGCATAGTTAATAATTTTTGAGATATGATTATCAACTTTATGATGTTTTTACGTTTTCTCTAAGATTCCTACACTTGGACAATAATGATAACAATTGGACTGCCTTAATGTAAAGCCCTTTTGATTGTAAAGAAATACTGATATTATCTCTATTATTGAAGGCGTAATAGCCATGGTCTAATGGAGAGTTTACCTCGTTTTGAAGTTATTTCTTATCACATTACCTACCTGCGAGTGAAAGTCTAATCAAAATTTGTAAATCCGTTACGTAGATTAGACAAAACAGATAGATAGACGGTTAAAAAATCACTTTTGATGTGATTAATAAAAAGCTTTAAATTTAATATTGAAAATAGACAATCCAATTTTACTAATAAGTATAAATGAATTTCTCGAAATGCAAATTACTTTACGTTGTTTGATTTTACTGAAAATATTCGACGAAAGTATATTTAAAAAAAAAACAATATTTTAACTAAGATAACTATTATTTTTAATATAATAGG